TACAAGAACAACTTTTTGTATTTGGTAATGTTGGTTCAACTTTAATAATTCCTTCTTTTATATGAAAAAAGAAAACTAATTAAAATGAAAAGGATATTATTTGATTCATTTTTTACCTAATTGACTAAGTCCAATCGCTTGTTTGATTTCTTCGAAAATTATCTGAACTTCATCGATTGAACCATTTTCTACATCAAGTAATTTTTGTGCTCGTTCAATTAAATTCTTTTCACGTTCAATATTTAGTAGTTTCTTTTCAATAATTACTTTAAATGTATCAACAACTGTTTTTAATTCATTTCGAAGACTAACAAGTCGTTCTTTGTTTCGTTGTGTTGCTTGAACATGTTCAATTAAATGATTTAAACAAATAAGACTTGAGCAACAATGACATTCATATAGATGTTTTATTTCTTGATCACATGTTAAACTAGCACATAAACCATCTGCTGGCATTTCTATAACATCGAAAAATTTCTTTTCGTATATTGTTATTATTTAAAAATGGGTAAACGACTGACCGACGGCTGTATATAAGAAATAGATTCATTTTGAATCGGAAGGACGAACATTTCGTCCAGTATACAACGTGACTATGTATTTTTCTCGATTAGTAGTATATTTTATCTTGTCAAAATAGAATATTTGATGTTTTATTGTTAAAAGACATAAGATGGAATATAGATTTTTACTATCTTTCATTTATTATTCCTATTAAAAGTTATAAATTAGACTAAGAGAATACAGATAATATTGTGATGAAATTTTAAGTATACAAAGATTTAGTACATATGACACAAAATTCTAAAAGAAGGATTATTTGTTATATTCTTAGTTAAAAGAAGATAACGATAAAAATACAATGTGATGATCAAAATGTACTCGGAACACTCTCATTTTTATTAGATAACTGTTTTTTTTACAAAAAACTTATTAAATTAAAGGTTCGAAGTAGTCGCCTTGATTCTTTATGTAGGGTTTCATTCGATCAGTGGGTTTTTGGAAGACCTTTCGAACCTCATCTTGTGATACTGAATGAAACTTCTTGGTGACATCTTGCTGTAATGATTTTGAGTAAGAGGAACTACTAAGCTGCAGTTTCCAATAACCGAAAAGTCAAAAATCTGACGAAATTACGACAGAAGAATATGGTGAATGATGCATAACCATTACGCCTTGTGCTTGAAGAAATGTTTTAATGTCATTTGTTTGATGAGGTCTTGCGTTGTCACGATTCAGTTTAATACAACGTGAACTTGAATAAATTTTTCAGTCTCAGTTCTCTATGAATAATACCACCAATAGTTTCATATGACAAACCAAGTTCCCAAGCAATACGTCGAATGCTAATATAGGAATTTTCTTAAATTAGCATACGTGCGCCATCAATATTTTCATCAGTAACCCCCGTGACTGGTCGATCGGTTCTTAGATTATTTTCCAACGAAGTTCGTTCTTGTCTAAAATGCTGTAACCATTCAGCAACTGTGCTATACGACACATATTCATACCTTTAATCTGCACATAATTATTCGTGAATTTCCTTTGCTGTGAAGCCAAATTGGAATCTTATTAAGATATAGTATCGAATGTGTGTTTTATGAATCGAAAAATACAACATACAGAAAAAATGAGCTTCATATCTACCTAAAGTGAATAATAGGTATTAATTTTCATAAATCAATAGATGAGACATAGCACGATCAAAATGTCAAACAACAACTTACGTATTGTGTCCAACGATAGAAATCGAAAGTCATTTCCAGAGCTTTTTGAACACCCTATGTAAATTATTATGTTTGGTTTTGGTGTATTATTACAGTTTTCTATATATGAAAATTATTGATAATTTTTATTGAAAACTGAAAAATTCTTAATAAATCTCAAAGAACAAATTTATTTGAATTTACAAAATTAGTTTTACAAACACAAAAACAAACAGATTGAAGTTCAATGTAATAAATACGAATTGACATTATTTACGAAAAAAATTGTTTTCTTAAGAAAGATTTTCACTAAATTAGATTAACACAAATCAAAGCATTAGTAGAATTTGTTTATTCTAGTCGTCAGATGAATTAAAATTTTTCATTTGAATTTCCTTTGATTGATCAACCAAGGTTCGTGCTACACTATCAGTAACATGGTGATAATATTGTAAATGTGAGTTTAATACGTAAGGTGTCATTTCTGAACGTTGGCATGGTGCTCCTTTAATATTTGTTGTGGCATATTGAAATAAATGAACCATATTTTTATTAAAGGGACATGGAATTTTGCATAAATGATTAATCACATGTTCATTTTCACTAAAGAGTTTTGTTGTTTTTGGATCTTCATTATTTGAAATAGCTTTTAGTAAATATCGAGCATAAATTGGCTTTAACTCATGTCTACCTATAAAATGGCCATATAATCCTATTGGACGATTTGTTTTGTTTGTACAAAAACGCATTGAATGGTTAGCAACTGTAAGACCAAATGCCCCATCAAATGTTAATGGACACAAACCACGTACGACACTAACTGGCGTTGATTCAACTTTATTTTGTTCATTATCATCATCACTATCCTAATAAAAAGTAGATACTGATAAAAAAAACAAATAAAAACTATGCACTGATCCCAGTGAGAGATTGGAGAAGTATTGTCTAGACAAAGAAGAATGTGGTGTCAAATAATCCGAACGTCGTTAGCACTATTAAAAAGTCATTGTAGGCATTGCAACAATTTAACTCAGAAAGAGCACTTTATTGTTTAGTCAGACACTCTTTACCTTTTCTATAAACATCATTCTTCTAGCATATACTCTAAGTAAATTTTCTTCTACAGACTGGTAGGCGAAATCAGGAGGTTTTGCTCTTAAATAACTTTATGATAACACTCACAAAATAATATTAATATCTACTCTCTACATTCTATATTATTACATTGATATCTGATAAATATAGTGATTGTTTTTCGAAGAATCTAATTAACATGCATTATAGCGATATTCTGTTCAGTTCTCAATTAATAGTTCAGATGATTATTGATCGAAGTAGTCACATACAGCAATTTTAAAATTACACTCCAAGTCGATTATGTACTAAATTCTTCCCGAAGCAGATAGCTGCTTCACACAATAGTATATTTTCCACATGCGCAACATGATTTTCTGGTAACTCAGTTATAATTGTTTTCTTTATCTAACTATAACTCAATGTATTCAAAATTACCAGATTCTAGCCTCTGAAAACTATACTACTTCACTTAAATGAATAAAAGTTTGAGGATGAGTGAGCTAAACAGTTCTTTATGCTACTAATACTTATTTCATTATTTTACTTCGATAGTAGCTGTTGTTCGACTAAAGAAAATAAAATAAGATAAGACAGTTCAGAATTTTTTCAATCATAAAAAACTTACTCAAGTGAACTACAATCAAAAATGGCACTACTATCACACATTGAATATTCATTGTCTAAAATAAATATAATTTATTATTGCATTCCACAATTTCTTAACAATATTCAATATACCTGTTGTAATCACTGATTTATCTAAAAACATAGTTTAAAAAGTATTTATATAAATTTCAGTCTATTATATTACCTGTTGAATTCAGATGAACAAGAGATCCACTAAGTAAAAGAAAATAAATAAAAGAATTCGATTAGAAACAAAAATACTTTGATGGTGGTGAAGTTGTTTTCGATAAGAATTCATCTATAAAAAATTTCTGTTTTAAACTTATCTTAAAAAAAGAATTCTACTTACCATTTTGATTTCGACATTTACACATACAAGAACAAGTTTTTGTATTCTGTAATGCTGGTTCAACTTTAATAATTCCATCTTTCAAATGAAAAAACAAACTCATTTAAATAAAAATATTATTATTGTATTCATTTTTTACCTAATTGACTAAATGCAATCGCTTGTTTGATTTCTTCACAAATTATCTGTACTTCATCGATTGAACCAGTTTTTGCATCAAGGAATTGTTGTGCTTGTTCAATTAAGCTCTTTTCACGTTCAATATTTAGTAATTTTTCTTCGATAATTACTTTAAATGTATCAACAGCTGTTTTTAACTCATTTCGAAGACTAACAAGTCGTTCTTTGTGTCGTTGTGCTGCTTCAACATGTTCACTTAAATGATGGAAACATATCAGACTTGAACAACAATGACATTCATATAGATGTTTTATTTCTTTATCACATGTTGAATCAGCACATAAACCATCTGCTGGCATTTCTAAAACATCAAAAAATTCCTTTCGTATATTATTATTGTTTAGAAATAAACATTTTTCTGACTGATGGATCTATATAAGAAATAGATTCATCCTTATTCGACAGAACGAACATTTTATCTAGAATACAACGTGACTATGTATTTTTCTCGATTGGTAATCTATTCTATTTTATCGAAACAGAATGTTTTGTGTTTCATTGTTAAAAGACATAAGATGGAATACGAAATTGTACTATTTTTCATTTACTATTTGTATGAAAAGTTACTGATTAAACTCAGATAATATTTCTGAAATTTGAAGTAGGCGAAGATTCAGTACATTGTAAAATTCTCTGTGACTGTTACTAAATGTTCATATCGAACATGAAGAGTTTGTGGAGAGAAGGTGAATGGGTATTCAAGCGGAAAAGAAATAATTCAATATAATGAATATGAATATAAATACATCTAAGTTCGACAAGATGAGAAAACTCAATATTGATGATATTTCTTCACATTTTTGACTTTGCTTCGTTTCATTCTGGATCACCAGATGGTCAAGTAATGGAAATGAATGTGAAATTTTGACAAAGAAATTATGTTCAAAAGAATTAAACATGTCTTGCTTATATAAGTTGCCAATATTAATAAACGTACCATCACGAAATCTATGCGAAATAGGCTGTATATTTTATATATCGGACGCAAGTGAATAGATATGACATCGAGTCCATATTGTGTTACGAAACTGATTAGAAATAATACAGTCATCAACATTCAAGTTTAACGAAATTTTTCTAAACAAAACAAAACAAAATATCAAAAGTAATACTATGATTGTGTCTTTGTTTAATGCATAAAAAACAGATTAAATAACTATACGATTGAAATATTTAACTTATTTCTATCGAACATAGTATTATTAAGACAAATTAGAGAATACGAATAGTTTTGGTTGGCCTCATAAATAAAATTATTTCTTCGTCTCATTTCAGAGTTTCACTTGATAAACTATTGTTACTTTCTTCTTTTACTTGTAAAACATTATTTTCGAGAACTTATCTCTGATTATTATTAATTTTATGTAATTTACAAGAACCCAGATTGAAAAAAAGTTATAGTATTAAATTTTTCATTGTATTATTTTATAATATCGACGCATTATGCATGAGTTCTGACGAAGTAGATCTAACTCAAAGTGGATCAGGTATAAAATCAAGTTTGACAATGAATGTTTGTAACTAATTAAGACAATTATCAAAATTGTGGATTTTGATACGTAAATAAGTAATAGTTGACGACACATGTAGTAGAAGGTAAATTGTTTGATAAGAATTTATTAGAAACGAAATCATTACTATTCACATTCAAATCTAAATAGTTTAAATTTGATAATAAGACAAAAACGATGATAAATATCAATAAATAAATTCAGCATTGACGAAGCTTCAAAATTCATAATCAATCGCTATAACCAATTTGGAAATTACATACCTGGAGTTGAGAATAAATGGACACTATTCTATTGACATACAAAATAAGATAATTACTTTGATCAGAAGTCTAAGGTTCTTATCAGGTCTGTTAAGAATTATCTCAAGACACAAACTTAGTATGAATAAATCTTATACTTTAGAAAAATTGATTGTATAAAACTTCCTATTTAACAATATACAATCTAAGGCCAGTAAAAAAAATGATTAAATTCAATTATAAATGTATAAAAATAAACATTTTGAAATTTATATGAAAATTCTAAAAAAGATAAGAAAATAATAAAATACTACGTTTGTTGTTCATGTATTGTTACACTTTTTTATATAAGAAAATTATTGATAACTTAAAAATTCTTAATAAATCTCAAAGAACAAATTTATTTGAATTAACAAAATTAGTTTTACAAACACAAAAAACAAACAGATTAAAGTTCAATGTAATAAACACCAATTGACATTATTTATGAAAAAATTTGTTGTATTTTGAAAGATTTTGATTAAACGAGATCAATATCAATGAAAACAATATAAGAATTTGTTCATTTTAGTCATAAGATTACTTAAGATTTTTTATTCGAATTCTCTTAGATTTATCAACTAATTTTCGTGCTACACTATCAGTAACATGGTGATAATTTTGTAAATGACGGACTAATGTAAAAGGTGCCATTCGTGAAGGATAACATGGTATTCTATGGATGTCCTTTGTAGAACCTCGAAATAAATGAATCATATTTTTATTAAAGGGACATGGAATTTTGCATAAATGATTAATCACATGTTCATTTTCACTAAAGAGTTTTGTTGTTTTTGGATCTTCATTATTTGAAAAAGCATTAACTAAACGTCGAGCATAAATTGGTTGTAATTCATGTTTACCTAGAAAGTGAGAGTATAATACTAATGAACGATTTGGTTTGTTTGAACAAAAATGCATTGAATGATTAGCAGCGGTAAGACCATATGCACCATCAAATGTTAATGGGCAAGAACCATGTACACTACGCATCGCGATTGATTTAACTTTATTTTGTTCATTTTCATCATCACTATCCTAATAAAAAGTAGATATTGATAAAAAAAAAGCTACGCATTGATTATTCTTATGAATATCTTCTTAAAAGTCATTGTAGGTATTGCAACAATTTGACTAAGGAAAAAGCATCTAATTATTCAGCCGGATACTCTTTACTTTTTTTTCTATAAACACTATTCTCACAAAATATACTAAAAGTAGAGTTTTTTTCTGTATATTGGTACGTGAAATCAGGAGGTTTTGCTCTTAAATAACTTTATAATAACACTCACAAAATAGTATTAATCTCTTCTCCCTACATTCCACATTGATACTTGACAAACATAGCAATTGTTTTTCAAAGGATCCAGTTAACATATATAACAGCTATGCTTTGTTAGATTTCTTATGATAGTTGAAATGATTGTTAATCGTAGCAAGCCACACTAATTTTAAAATCACACTACAAGTCGATTATGAATTATACTCCTCTTATTTTCATTAGAGATATTTCTTCCCGAAGCAGATAGTTGCTTCAAACATTAGCATATTTCCCAAATCCTCAACATAATCTTCTGGCAACTCGCTTATAATTGATTTGCTCATCTAACTATAACTCAATGTGTTCAAAATAACCAGATTCTAGCCTCTGGAAACTATATTACTTCGCTTAAATGAATAAAACTTTGATCATGAATCCTCTCAACAATTCTCTATTCTACTACTAATTATATACTAGTTTTACCTCGATAGAAGCTGTTGTTCGACTGAAGAAAAATAAAATAAAATAAGATAATTCAGAATTTTTGCGATCTTGAAAAACATACTCAGGTGAATTACCATCAACAATGACACTAGTATCACACATTGAATGTTCATCGTCTTAAGTAAATACAATTCATTATTGTTTTTCGACAATTTCTTATCAATATTCAATATACCTGTTGTCATCATTGATCCGTTTGTTTCATCTACAACTATAATTTAAAAAAAGTATTTATATAAATTTCAGTGTACTATATTACCTGTTAAATTTTGATGAACAAGAGATCTACTAAATAAAAGAAAATAAATAAAAGAATTCGATTAGAAACAAAATACTTTGATGGTGGTGGAGTAGTCTTCGATAATAATTCATCTAGAAATATTTTCTATTCAAAACTTATTTTAGTAAAAAAATTTCATTTACCATTTTGATTTCCACATTTACAAATACAAGAACAACTTTTTGTATTTGGTAATGTTGGTTCAAGTTTAATAATTCCTTCTTTTATATAAAAAAAACAAAACTAATTAAAATGAAAAGAATATTATTTGATTTATTTTTTTACCAAATTGACTAAGTCCAATCGCTTGTTTGATCTCTTCAAAAATGATCTGAACTTCATCAATTGAACCATTTTCTACATCAAGTAGTTTTTGTGCTTGTTCAGTTAAATTCTTTTCACGTTCAATATTTAGTATTTTTTTTTTCAACAATTACTATAAGTGTACCAACATCTGTTTTTAATTCATTTCGAAGACTAACAAGTCGTTCTTTGTTTCGTTGTGCTGCTTCAACATGTTCACTTAAATGCTGGAAACAAATAAGACTTAAACAACAATGACATTCATATAAATGTTTTATTTCTTTATCACATGTTAAATCAGTACATAAACCATCTGCTGGCATTTCTATAACATCGAAAGATATCTTTTGTATATTGTTATTATGTAGAATTGGACATTGTACTAACTGACCTTTCTATATAAGAAATAGATTGGTTCGTAAGAGCGAACATTTTACAAAGAATACAACGTGACTATGCATTTTTCTCTATCGGTAATCTATTGTATTTTATTAAAACAGATTATTTTTTGTTTCGTTGTTAACAGGCATAAGATGGAATACATAATTCTACTATTTTTTCAGTTACTATTTCTATTAAAAGTTACAAATTACACTAAGATAGTATAAATCATACAAATAATAATACAAGTATTATTTAATATATTCTTAGTTGAAAGAAGATAGCAATAGAAATAGTTAACTATAGATTGTAAAAGTGTATCAAGTACATTTGCTTTGAATATTACAGGATTTTTATGCATATGTTACTGGTACATGATTGAGATATACAGAAATATGAGTGTTTATAGATTTATCTGTTCATCATTCTCTGTGTAAAAACATTTAAAAAAAAAGAAACTATTCGTACCAGCAACTGATAGTAACCCGAGCTGCTCGTTAGTGAATTCTTTTAAAATTTTATCCAGGTAAAATGAAAAAGTTTTATTTCTTTTAGGAAATAAGTTAGTTTTACAAACAAAAAAAACAGATTAATGATGAATGTAATAAAAACCAAGTGACATTATTTATACGAAAGATTATTTTATTAAGAAAGATTTTGACTAAACGAGATCAATATCAATGAAAACAATATAAGAATTTGTTCATTTTAGTCATAAGATTAATTAAGTTTTTCCATTTCAATTTCCTTTGATTGATTAACTAATGTTTGTGCTACATTCTCGGTAACATGGTGATAATATTGTAAATGATGGAGTAATATTCTAGCTGACATTCGTGAATAGTGACATGGTACTCTATGCATGTCCTTCGTAGAACCTCGAAATAAATGAATCATATTTTTACTGCAGGGGCATGGGATTTTACATAAATGATTGATCACACCTTCATTTTTATTGAAGAGTTTTGTTGTTTTTGGATCTTCATTGTTTGAAATAGCTTTCAGTAAACGTCGAGCATAAACTGGCTTTAATCGATGTTTACCCAGAAAATGAAAATATAATACTAATGAGCGAGGCTTTTTTTTTGAGCAAAAACGCATTGAATGGTTAGCTGTTGTAAGACCAAATGCACCATTAACTGTTAATGGACATAAACCACGTAAACCACTGAGTGGTCTTGATTTCATTTCGTTTTGCTCATTATCATCATCGCTATCCTAATGAAAAGTAAATATTGATAAAAAAAATAGAACTATCCACAGATTATACTAATAAATACTTTATCATTGATAGTTGACTTTTAGAACACATTTCTAATATATCCACATCTACTTTGTCTGAAAAGTAACTCTCCTTAATTAGTTTACATCAGTTTCAAGATTTTTATTTGAATAAAAAACTGTTTGAAAATGATATGGTGAAGTATTCTATAGAAACCAGTAAAATATTCGTTAACTAATATCCGGATAAAGAAAGAGGTAATATCAAATGATTACCACGTAATTAGTACTTTTCAGAGGTCATTGTAGGTGTTGTAGAAATTTAAGCATGGAAAAAGTATCTTATTATTCAGTAAGACACTCTTTACTTTTTCTGTACACACTATTTTTTCAGTATATCCTGAAAATAGAGTTTCATCTGCAGATTGGGAGGTCAAACCAGAAAATTTTGCTTTTGAACAACTTTATGATAACACTCACAAAATAATACTGATATCTACTCTCTACATTCCATATTATTACACTGATATTTAATATGTACAGCGATTGTTTTTCAAAGGATCCAGTTAACATATATTATAACGATGTTTTCTTCGATTCTCGATTAATAGTTCAGATGATTATTAACGGAGGTAATCACGTACAGCAATTTTAAAATTACACTCTAAGTCCATTATGTACTAAAATCCTCTTATTTTCATTAGAGGTATTTCTTCCTGAAGCTGATAGTTGCTCCAAATATTAGCATATTACCAAAATTCTCAACATGATCCTTTGATAACTCGATTATAATTGTTTTCTTCATCTAACTATAACTCAATGTGTTCAAAACAACCAGATTCTAGCCTCTGAAAACTATACTGCTTCGCTTAAATGAATAAAACTTTGATCATGAATCATCTGAACAAGGCTTTATTCTACTAATAGTTATTTCAACATTTTACTTCGATAGTAACTGTTGTTCGACTAAAGAAAAAGAAAAGAAAATATCATATTTTACATTTTTTCCAATTATGAAAAACTTACTCAAGCGAATTACAATCAACAATGACACTACTGTCACTCATTGAATATTCATCGTCTAAAATAAATATAATTTATTATTGCATTTCACAATTTCTTAACACTATTCAATATACCTGTTGTCATCATTGATTTATCTAGAAATATAGTTTCAAAAAAGCATTTATATAAATTTCAGTCTGTTATCTTACCTGTTGAATTCAGATAAACAAGAGATCTACTAAATAGAAGAAAATAAATAAAAGAATTTGATTAGAAACCAAAATACCTTGATGGTGATGAAGTAGTCTTCGATAAGAATTCATCTAGAAATATTTTCTATTCAAAACGTATTTTAGTAAAAAAATTTCATTTACCATTTTGATTTCGACATTTACAAATACAAGAACAAGTTTTTGTATTTGATAATATTGGTTCAAGTTTAATAATTTCTTCTTTTATATAAAAATGCAAAGTTATTTAAGTAAAAATAATATTATTTTAGTTATTTTTTACCTAATTGACTCAATGCAATCGCTTCTTTGATTTCTTCAAAAATGATCTGAACTTCATCAATTGAACCATTTTCTACATCAAGTAGTTTTTGTGCTTGTTCAGTTAAATTCTTTTCACGTTCAATATTTAGTGATTTTTTTTCAACAATTACTATAAGTGTACCAACAACTGTTTTTAATTCATTTCGAAGACTAACAAGTCGTTCTTTGTTTCGCTGTGTTACTTGAACATGTTCACTTAAATGATGAAAGCAAATAAGACTTAAACAACAATGACATTCATATAGATGTTTTATTTCTTTATCACATGTTAAGTCAGTACATAAACCATCTGCTGGCATTTTTAAAATATCAAAAAATTTCTTTTGTATATTGTTATTGTTTCGAAATGGACATTCTACTGACTGACAGATCTATATACAAAATTGATTTATTGATTCGTTCGAAGGAACATGTTATATAAAATGCAACGTGACTATGTAAAATAGAACGTGACTATGCATTCTTCTGGATTATTAATCTATTCTGTCTTATCAAAACAGAATATTTCATGTTTCTTGGGTAAAAGACATAAGATGGAATACATAATTCTACTATTTTTCATTTACTATTTCTATTAAAAGTCACTAATTACACTAAGATAATACAGATAATATTTCTGAGATTTTTAGTATATAAAGATTCAGTATATAAAATACAAATCAGTGTACAAGGATCATTTGATATATTCTTAGTTAAAAAATGATAACGACGGAAATAGTTAACTATAGATTATAAATGTTTATTCAACGCATATATTACTGAGACATAATTGATATACACATGAATATGAGTATATATACATTTATTTCTTCATCGCGGTCTCTACGAACACATCTAAAAATATATATTCGTGCTAATAAGTGACAGTAGTTAGAAGTTTGGGTCAGTGAATTCTTTTTAAAGTTTAGAAACATCCTAGAAGTATTATATTATGACTATGCTCCCTATATTACATGAAGAAGGTATATAAATGGTTGAAATCTGAGAAATTCTTCGATACTGTACTATAAGATATGGTTGAAGAGAAAATATTCTACTAAGGAAATATGGCCGGGGGAGACTGAATATACCATTTGATAGAGAATTAAATTCTGCATATAATAAACTAGTTCAAAAGAGCTGGCTATACTTTCGATAGGGAAAATTGTTTTTTTATTTTGATTGATGAATACTGTACTGTAAGGTATGATTGAGAAAAGAATCTTCTTCTGAGGAACTTTCGTGGGTAGAGACTGAAGATGATATTCGATAGGGCACCAAAATCTGTATCTTATGACTTATTTCAATAGAGCAGAAGATGCTCGGTTTCTTCGGAAGATGTGGTGGAATGTAGTTTGAATTTGTATGGTAACTAAGGTTGTTAGGTTGGGATTCTGTGGATTGTTGATGGTATTTTGTGCTTGTCGTCTGACTGGATGTTGATACTGAGAATGTGATTGGTTTTCGGGCTAACGTCACATCGATGAAATTCTTTTCACACATTATTTATATGCCGAAAATGGCGAACAGTCGTAGTTCTTTTTAAATCGATGTGAATTATGTTGGTTTCCTTAAGATGTAAAATATTCTAATTTGTTTTTGAATTGATATATAAAATAACATCGAATTGCTAAAGCTGTTATATATCATAAATACTAGATACTTATATTGGTTTCAAAATATAATGTACTCAGTTGTTTCTTGAGTAACTACCAAACGAAACAACATAGAGAGCTGCGGTTTTCACTGTTCGAAAGAGAAATGTTGGGGCTATCGAAATATGTAAGAGCAAACTTTTTTCAAAAACTTAGTAGGGTTTTCTAGAGATCACGATTTCTAGAAAACCGGTATTCTAAAATTTTGTATTACACTTTTTATTCTGATGATGCCATCAGATAGCCCAGCCTTTTCTCTATCGAATGAAACCAACCCGACCTTTTTCTAACCTTTTGATCAGAAGCTAGACTTTACGCACAAGGAGCTATGTGATCCTTGGTTTTTAACGTATTTTGGTAGTTTTTAATGGTTTTTATGCGATTTCTTTAGGTTTTGATGAAAACGAATGATATATTTGAAATCAGGACGCAAAAGTGAGTGGATCTATATACTTTTCAATATCATTAGAGTATTTTCATTGTTCTCTAAAATTTTACCTTAGGTACCCCTCAGGCATTGATCCAAAAATAAATATAATTAAACATCAATGTATCGCTGAGGGGTACCTCACGTAAAATTTTGAAAAAAAATGAAAATATTCTTAATATATTAAAAAGTATATAGATCCACTCAGTTTTGCGTCCTGATTTCAAATATATCATTCTTTTTTATCAAAAACCGATTGAATCACATAAAAACTACAAAAACTGCTAAAACAAGTCAAAAACCAAGGCTCACACGGCTCCTAGTGCGTAAGCTCTAGATTCTCATCAGAAGGTCTGAAAAAGTTCGGGTTGGTGTCATTCGATAGAAAAACAGTTGAGCTATCTACTGGCATCATCAGAATTAAAAGTGTAATGGAAAATCTCGAAGCCCCGGTTTTTTAGAAATCTGGGTCTCTAGAAAACACTACTAAGGTTTTGAAAAAAGTTTGCTCTTACATATTTCGATAGCCCCAACATTTTTCTTTCGAACAGTGAAAATTGCAGCTCTCTATGTTGTTTCGTTTGGTAGTTATTCAAGAAACAACCGAGTATATTATATTTTGAAATGCATAGTAGTTACTGTAAAACAATAAGACAATGCCTACAAAATGATTATGAATCCTTTAAGATGTTTTATAGTCACTGAAATATACGCGTATAGATGTATATTTACATACTGATAAGGAATTAATTTATATAGATACGTACTGGGCTAGAAACAATATTTTGTCAGAAAACTTAAGGTATAGTTTTTAACAAACTTTATAATGAATTTAATAACAAATTAGAGGTTGTCAAAAACGGAGTTTCTTAGTATTAAATTATAAGAGTTATGAAAAATAGTATTTGTTTTCTTTTAACTTCATTTATCGTGTCAAACGTTAGAATCTAGTTTTTCTTTATTTGTGGATGAGTAAATAATAATATATAGATGAACTTTATAAGAATATTTGAAACTAAAAGTTATTAATTTCGTTACAAACAACTACGATAATCGATCTCATTAGAAGTCTGAGATTCATGTCAAGTCTATTAAGACTATCTCAAGAGACAAACTTAACAGAAACTAGACTTTTGAGTAAAAACCGTACTTATAAATCTTATATTTTAGCAAAACTGATCATATAAAAACTCCTATTCAACTATATATAATCTAAGGCCAGTAAAAAATGATTAAATTCAATTCTAAATGTATAAAAATAAATACTAACATTGATAGGTAAATGATAAAATAGATAATAAAATTTAATTTAACTTGATTTCTAAAGAAAATAATAAATTACTACGTTTGTTTTTAATGTTTTATTAGTTTTCATATCAAATAACGTTTATATAGGCATCAATTTATCTGACAAAAGATTTTCTATTCTTCATAAATTTCAAAGAGTAAGTTTATTAAAATCTTCAAAAATTAGTTTTACAAACAAAAAAAACAGATTAATGATGAATGTCATAAACACCAACTGACATTATTCATGAAAAAATGTGTTGACTATGAAAGATTTTGATTAAACGAGATCAATATCAATGAAAACAATATTACAATTTGCTTATTTTTGTCATAAGATCAAATATGATTTTCCATTTGAATTTCCTTTGATCGATCAATTAGTTTTCGTGCTACACTAGGAGTAACATGGTGATAATATTGTAAATGATGGCGTAATGCATAAGCTGGCATTCGTAAATAGTGACATGGTAGTTTATGAATGTTCTTTGTAGAACCACGAAATAAATGAATTATATCCTTACTGAAGGGACATGGAATTTTATATAAATGATTAATGACATCTTCATTTTCATAGAAGATTTTTGTTGTTTTTGGATCATCGTTATTTGAAATAGCTTCCAGTAAACGTCGAGCATCTATTGGTTGCAAGTCATGTTTATTTATAAAATGATAATATAATCCTATTGGACGATTTTTTTTGTTTGAACAAAAGCGTACTGAATGATTCGCTGCTGTAAGACCAAATGCACCATCAAATGTTAATGGGCAAAAACCTTGTGGATATCTGGTTGACATTGATTTAACTCTATTTTGCTTATTAGCATCATCGCTATCCTAATAAAAATAGATAATGATAAAAAAAGTAATAAAAACTACACACTGATTATGTTTATTTCACAATTTTTATTTGAATTAGAAACTGTTTGTATATCATATGATGAAGTATTCTATAACTAATATTTAGATAAAGAAAAATGTGATGTCAAATGATTGCGATGTACTTGATACTTTTTAAAAATCATTCTAGATATTACAGAGATTTAAGTATGGAAAAAGCATCTTCTTCCTTAGACAGATACTCTTTTCTTTTTCTACAAACACTATTCTTCCAGGATATACTAAAACTAGAATTCCTTCTGCAGACTGGTAGGCGAAATCAGAAGGTTTTCCTTTTGAACAACTTTATAATAACACTAATAAAATAATATTAATGTCTTCGCTCTACATTCCATATTATGACACTGATATTTGATAACTACGGCGATTGTTTTTCGAAGGATCTAGTTAACATATATCATAGCGAAGCTTTATCCAATTCCCTAATAATAATTCCGATGATCGTTAATCGAATTAATCACGTACAGCAATTCTAAAATCACACTACAATTCGATTATGAACTTTACTGTTGCTATTTTCATTAGAAATATTTCTTCCTAAAGCAGATAGTTGCTTCAAATATTAGCATATTACCAAAAACCTCAACATGATCTTCTGGTAACTCGCTTATAATCGTTTTCTTCATCTAACTATAACTCAATGTGTTCAAAAAAGTCAGATTCTAGCTTATGAAAACTATACTACTTCACTTAAACGAATATCGCTTTGATTGCCAGTCATCTTAACAATTCTTTATTCTACTAATAGTTATTTCATTATTTTACTTCGATAGTAGCTGTTGTTCGGCTAAAGAAAAAAAAATAAGATAATTCAGAATTTTCCAATCATGAAAAAAACTTACTCAAGCAAAATACAATCAAGAGTGACACTGGTATCACACATTGAATGTTCATCGTCTAAAATAAATATAATTCATTGTTGTTTTTCACATTTCTTGACAATATTCAATATACCTGTTGTGATCATTGATCGGTTTGTTCCATCTAGAAATATAGTTTAAAAAAAACATTTATATAAATTTTAGTCTATTATGTTACCTGTTGAATTCAGATGAACAGGAGATCTACTAAACAAAAGAAAATAAATAAAATAATTCAACTTGAAAGAAAATACTCTGATGGTGGTGGAGTTGTTTTCAATAATAATCCATCTAAAAATATTTTCTATTCAAAACGTATTTTATAGAAAAATTTCATTTACCGTTTTGATTTTCACATTTACAAATACAAGAACAGTTTTTTGTATTTGGTAATGTTGGTCCAACTTTACCAATTCCATCTTTTATATGAAAAAGTAAACTTGCTTAAATAAAAATAATATTATTGTATTCATATTTTTACCAAATTGACTGAATGCAATGGCTTGTTTGATTTCTTCAAAAATAATCTGAATTTCATCAATTGAACTATTTTCTAGATCAAGTAGTTTTTGTGCTTGCTCAATCAGATTCTTTTCACGTTCAATATTCAGTAGTTTCTTTTCAATAATAGCGTTAAATGAATCAACAGCTGTTTTTAATTCATTTCGAAGGCTACCAAATCGTTCTTTGTTTCGCTGTGTTGATTCAACATGTTCAATTAAATGATTTAAACAAATAAGACTTGAACAACAATGACATTCATACAAATGTTTTATATTTTTGTCACATGTTAAGTCAGCACATAAACCATCTGCTGGCATTTCTAAAACATCGAAAAATTTCTTTTCGTATGTTGTTATTATTTAAAAATGGGTATTCGTCTGACGGGCGGCTCTATATAAGAAACAGAATTATCTTAATTCGTTCGAATGAACATTTTATCTAGTATAAAACGTGACTATGTATTTTTCTCGGCTAGTAATGTATTATATTTTATCAAAATAGAATATTTCGTGTTTCATTATTAAACGACATGAGATGGAATACAGAATTCTACTATTTTTTGTTTACTTTTTGTATGAAAAGTTACTAATTAAACTCAGATAATACAGATAATATTTCTGAAACTTAAGTATATAAAGATTTAGTACATATGACACAAATTGTAAGAGAAGGATTATTTGATATATTCTTAGTTAAAAGAAGATATCGATAAAAATACAATGTGGTGATCAAAAAGTTCTCGGAACACTCTCATTTTTATTAAATAACTGTTTTTTTACAAAAAACTTATTACATTAAATATTCGAAGCATTCGCCCCAACTTGTAATGCAGAGTATCTTTCGCGCCGCATCTTGTGGTATTGCACGAAATTCCTTGGTGACAGCTTATTGTAATGATTTTGATTAAGAGTACCTACCAGGCTGTGGTTTGAAGTAATCAAAACGTCAAAAAACTAACGAAGTTAGGACAGAAGAATATGATGAATGATGCATAACTATTACTCCTTGTTCTTCAAGAAATTTTTTGATGTCATTTGTTTGATGAGGTCTTGCGTTGTCACGATGCAGTTTAATACCATGTGAACTTGAATAACTTTTTCATTTTCAGTTCATCATGAATAATAAGTATTTATTTCCATGAAAAACAATAGATGAGACCTAGCGCTAGCACAATGTTAAACAAATACTTCCGTATTCTGTCCAACGATAGAAATCGAAAGCCATTTCGAGAACTTTTTAAGCACCGTATGTAAACTACTACGTTTTTTTATGTATTATTACAGTTTTCTATATACAAAAATTATTGATAATTTTTATTAAAAACTGAGAAATTCAAAAAATCATTTCTTTTACATGAAATAATGTTTATATAAGCATTATTTTGTTTGACAGGAGATTTTTCTATTTTGATAAATTTCAAACAAGAAATTTATTTGAATCTACAAAGTCAGTTTTATAAACAAAAAAACAGTTTAATAATGAATGTAATAAAAACCAATTGACATTATTTAAGAGAAAATCGATGTTATTAAGAAAGATTTTCGTTAAATGAGATAAATATCAATGAAAACAATATTAGAATTTGTTCATTTTAGTCATAAGATTAATTAAGTTTTTCCATTTGAATTTCTTTTGATTGATTAACTAATGTTTGTGCTACACCCTCGGTAACATGGTGATAATATTGTAAATGATGGAGTAATGCATAATCTGGCATTCGTAAATAGTGGCATGGTATTCTGCGAATGTCTTTTGCAGAACCTCGAAATGAATGAATCATATCCTTACTGAAGGGACATGGAATTTTAAATAATTGATTAACCACTTCTTCGCTTTCATCGAAGAGTTTTGTTGTTCTTGGATCTTCATTAATTGAAATAGCTTTAAGTAAACGTCGAATATAAATTGGTTGTAATCGATGTTTAGTTATAAAATGTTCATATAATCCTATTGGACGATTTTTTTTGTTTGAACAAAAGCGCACTGAATGATTAGCAGCTGTAAGACCAAATGCCCCATCAAATGTTAATGGACAAAAACCACGTAAACCTTTGAGTAACCCTGATTTCACTTTATTTTGTTCTTTAACAATGTGTACATCCTAATAAAAAGTAGATATCGATAAAAAAAACTACGCACTGGTTATTCTCAGGAATATCTTATCACTAATTGTTCACTTTTAGAACACATTTCTAACATATCTACATCAAATTTTTCTGAAAAATGACTTTCGTTAATTAACCTACATCAGTTTCAAAATTTTATTTGACCTAGCAACTATTTAGAAATCATATGATGAAATATTCTATAGAAACTAGTAAGAGATTGGATAGGTATTATCTAGACAAAGAAGAATGTAGTGTCAAATGATTATGATCTACTTAGTCCTATTTGAAAGTCATTGCAGGTATTGTAGAAATTCAAGTATGCAAAAAGCATCTTATTGTTTAGTCATCTACTCTTTACTTTTTCTATAAATACTGTTTTTACAGAGTATCCTAAAAATAGATTTTCCTCTGTAGATCGGCAGATGACACCAGGAGGTTTTGCTCTTGAACACCTCTATAATAACGCTAACAAAATAATATTAATGTTTTCGCTCTGCATTCCATATTATTACATTAATATTTGATATGTACAGCGATTTTTTTTCGAAGAATCTAGTTAACATATCTTATAATCTTGCGGATCGATTGTGAACTATACTTGTCTTATTTTAATTAAAGATATTTCTTCCTGAAGCAGATAGTTGCTCCAAATATTAGCATATTTCTCATATGCTTACCACGATCCTTTGATAACTCGATTATAATTGTTTTCTTCACCTAACTGTAACTCAATGTACCGAAAAAAGCCAGATTCTAGCCTCTGGAAACTATACTACTTCATTTAAATAGATAAAATTTTGAGGATGAGTCATCTCAACAATTCTTTATTCTACCACTAATTATATCATTATTTTACTTCGATAGAAACCGTTGTTCGACTAAAAAAAGATAAGATAGTTCAAAATTTTTCCAATCATGAAAAAAACTTACTCAAGCAAAATACAATCAAGAGTGACACTGGTATCACACATTGAATATTCATCGTCTGAAGTAAATACAATTCATTGTTGTTTCTAACAATTTCTTAACAATATTCAATATACCTGTTGTCATCATTGATGTGTTTGTTTCATCTAGAAGTATAGTCGAAAAAAACATTTATATAAATTTCAGTATATTGTATTACCTGTTAAATTTTGGTGAACAAGAGATCTACTAAACAAAAGAAAATAAATAAAAGAATTCGATTAGAAACCAAAATACTTTGATGGTGGTGAAGTAATTTTCAATAAGAATTCATCTAGAAATATTTTCTATAAGAAACTTATTTTATAGAAAAACTGCATTTACCATTCTGATTTCCACATTTACAAATACAAGAACAACTTTTTGTATTCTGTAATGCTGGTTCAACTTTAATAATTCCATCTTTTATATAAAAAAAAAACAAACTCATTTAAATAAAAATAATATTATTTTAGTTATTTTTTACCTAATTGACTCAATGCAATCGCTTCTTTGATTTCTTCGAAAATTATCTGAACTTCATCAATTGAACCAGTTTTTGCATCAAGTAATTTTTGTGCTTTTTCAATTAAGCTCTTTTCACGTTCAATATTTAGTAATTTTTCTTCGACAATTACTTTAAATGTATCAACAACTGTTTTTAATTCATTTCGAAGACTTTCAAATTGTTCGTTGTTTCCTTGTGTTGCTTCAATATGTTCATTTAAATGCTGGAAACAAATCAGACTTGAACAACAATGACATTCATATAAATGTTTTATATTTTTGTCACATGTTAAATCAGCACATAATCCATCTGCTGGCATTTCTAAAACATCGAAAAATTTCTTTTGGTATATTGTTATTATTTAAAAATGGGTATTCGTCTGACGGGCGGCTCTATATAAGAAATAGATTCATTTTGATTCGAAAGAACGAACATTTCGTCTAGAATACAACGTGACTATGTATTTTTCTCGATTAGTAATATATTTTATCTTGTCAAAACAGAATATTTCATATTTCATTGTTAAAAGACATAGCATAAAACTGATGAAATTTTCAGTACATAAAGATTCAGTACCTAACAAACAAGTTTTAGGCGAAGGATTATTTGTTGTATTCTCAGTTAAAAGAAGATAATGATCAAAATAGTTAAGTATAGATTATAAATGTTTACCAAATGTATTTGCTTTGAATATTACAGCATTTCAATGCATATCATACTTATACATGATTGACATATAGATAAATATGAGTATTTATACATTTATGTATTCACCATTCTCTGTGTAAAAACAGTTTAAAACTATATATTCGCGTTAGTAATTGACATGAGTTAAAAGTTTAGGTTGGTGAATTCTTTTAAAATTTATAAACATGCTGTAAATGCTATATTTTGACTATTTTTCCTGTGTTGCATTAAGAATGTATAGAAATGGTTGAAATCTGAAATTTCCATTCTTGGCATTATTCGTATGCACAAAATGGCGAACAATCGTAGTTCTTTTTAAATCGATTAAAATTATGTCGATTTCTTTAAGATGTAAAATATTCTGATTTGTTTTTGAACTGATATATTGAATAACATCTTGAAGGTGTGGGTACTCTTCTCATCCGATATTAACAGTGATACCCACATTCTCAGGTGTAAAATGTTCTGGAAAGATTTACATATTGTATCGAATAAGCAGAATTTATTATAATATTGCAATTTAATATTAAGCTTGTTCTGTAATGTGATTAAAAATATCTGTTAATCTTGATGATATAATTTCTTCGAGATTTATATATGTACTATTCGTTATTATGAAAGAATACGACGAAAGTGACATATAGCGGAGGAACAAAAATAAGAGTAATTTTAACTGGTTTTTTTGCATAACCAATAGAGAAATACAGAAAAAAATAATTTCAATGTTGTATCGTTACTATTCTATGATAATAAAATTTCATTCATTCTTTTTAATACATATCTTACATTATTAAATATGTCAAATTCCATCTGTTTTTATTCGCTGGAAGATTTGTTATAAATAATTTTCTTTACCATGATAGATAAACTCACTATTAAATACTACTTACAACAGTACGATGAATTGATCATAAAACAAAATTATTAACGTCTATATATTTGTTTTCATGTATTGTTTTCTTTATCTTTCTAATGCATAATAGGATTTGATAGCAATGCCATATAGTATTCTATTATAGTAAACCTAAAGATCTTAATAAAATAAATTAAAATTAGAAGATGATGCTATGTGAACATCTGTATTTATCCTAATATACTAGAAGAATAAATCTTATACTTTTTAGTTTTTTCATTAATTAATCATTGGAAATACTTCTTTAACTGCTTTTCGTACTGTCCGACAACGGATTGGTATGGCCACTGTGAATCAACAACATTCAGGTCATCGCTGGATGCTTGAAGCATTAAAATTAGCACAAAATGCACTAGATAAACAAGAAGTTCCTAGTAAATATAATCAAATTATTGAAAATTTTTCATTGTTTAATTATGATTAAATCTATAGATTTTATTCTTTAGTTGGTTGTGTAATTATTCATAATGACACAAAAATACTTGCATCAGGTCAAAATGAACCTGTTCGACTTAAAAATGCTACAAGACATGCTGAAATGTGTGCACTTGATTCTCTTTTTGCTGAATATGATCTTTCAACTGCACGAAAAGTTTGTTATGATTTATTCTGTTTTTTTTAATTTTTGTTTAACTATTTAGCTTCTATCTGAATCAGTTCTCTATGTTACTTGTGAACCTTGTATGATGTGTGCCGGTGCATTACGTCTTGCTGGTTTAACACAAGTTATCTATGGATGTTCAAATGATCGTTTCGGTGGTTGTGGATCTGTATTAGATATTGCACAAGATCCAATGCCTGATACATTACCTTTACAATGTACAAGTGGAATTGAAGGTGATGAAGCAATGCGTTTATTAAAATCATTTTATATGAATACCAATGTAAATGCACCACAACCGAAAGATAAATCTAAAAGACTTAAAAAAACACCTGTAACATCTGAATAAATGTTTATTTTTCTTTATATTAATAAAAAAAAGACATTGTTGCCTTTTTAAAGCCATAGGAAAACTATGTTTACTAGAAATCTGAAGTTACAAATACTGAATAAACTTGATATACAATACAACGAATTATGTTATAAACTCTATGAATCTATGTAGTAGCATTCTTCCTTTGACAGTTCCTCATTACTAATAATCTCTATATTTATAAACTTTTTTATTCAATCATATGAATAAAAATCTAATGTAATTTAGTATTTGTCAATAAATGTAACTATTTTCAGTACGTCAATATTAATATTATTTACGTCTGGCGAGTATTCAAATTTAGAAAAATCATTTTAAATGTTTAATGCTCTTAAAACTAATACCATAATGTAGAACACAAGCATTCTCTTTATGTAAATTTTCTCTTCATGTCTTGCAAATATGCCTCGCTTAAAAACGTAAATGCAAACACATTAATCGTTTGAATCACTACAATACTGTTAACCAACAAGCAACGAACTTAGAAGGCATTGATTGTCTACATAACGATTAAAGTAACATATTTGAAAAATTAATTGTTACCATTTTGAAATAGAACGATGGTAGACATTATTAAACCCATATCACCTGTGTCAACACTATTATCTTCAACTAATCTTCAAAGACAAAATCGATCAACTTCCAAACACCTTTCTTTACCAGTATTAGTTACAACTGTTGATAATATTCCATCAAATGAACAAACAAATATTTTTTTAAATTCAAAACGATGGATTGGACGTTGTCCTGGTGAAATGACAAATCGACAATTGACTACATCTAATGTAGCATATAATATACATCGAAAAATGATCTATCGTGAATTATCTCAATTTTATCCAATGACAACAGGTGATTTGTCTGCAATGATAAAAATCAAACAACAACATCAACAGAAAAATTCTAATAAAGAATCGTTAAAGGTAACAATAGGAACAGCAACAACTGTTACATCGCTTCCAACTGTATCAAGTGTTGATGCTCAAAGTTCTCGTCTATTTGATACACTTTCAAAACATGTTACAATTAAGGCAGAACCACTTCGACCAACAAATTATTTTATAAACAATACAAATAAATTCGTATCTTCATGGCAAAAATATTGGGCATCTACACATATACAACGACGACGGTAAACCAATAACTATTTATATAATTTATCTATTGCTTTTTTTTTTTCTTCCTTCAAATTTTAGAAAAGAACCTCATGATATAGAATTTCCTTATATACGTGATCAACAACTTTCTATTCCTCCAGCACATTTTCTTACTGTTCATGATTCATCATTACAACATATAAATAATGAAAATAATAGTTTTAGTAGAAAATCATCAATTATATCAAATTGTTCTACTATAACTGAATGTCCTTCACCGATAATATTCGATAATCAATCATCATTTATAAAAGAAGAAAATCATGTTAGTTTATCGCGAACTGTTTTATTATCTATAATTGATTTATCAAAAGAAAAACATTCTCCAATGAATAATTCTTTAAAATTAATTGATCAAAAAAATGTATCACCTATTCAAAGTAAAGGTTCAATTATTAATAATAATGATGATAATAAAATTCCTAATGAAACAAATCTAATAGCAGCAAGACTTTATAAACTTCCATTACCTTCAGCTAAACCTAGAGTTAGTAGAATATCTATCAAACATGGATCACAATCAAAATCATCAGAAAAAAAAAAAACTAAAAATTCGTCATCAGATAAAAAAGAAACAACAACAACTTCATCTGCAACAACCACATCTACTTCAAAAACTAAACAACAAACATCATCGAATAAATCAAATCGAATAACTATTAAAAAGCAGCAATCATTATCAACAGTAATAACAACAACACCAAGATCGAAATATGAACAAATAAATTGGGAAGAACCATATATTGGTATTAGATTTGATCCTCCAACACCACCATGTTCACCATCATTATTTATTTGGCCAGAAGATAGTGATCAAGATGAAGATGATAGAATATTAAAACAAAATTTTATTATAGAAATATAACTATTATTTTAAATATTCGAGAAACTGTTATCGTATATTTTCTATTTAATTCGATCCTATTATATTTTTTATTTTTTTATTTTATATTTATCTTTAAAAATATTTTCATGATAATAAAATGATATATATTTTTACTTTTTAGTCTTGAGATAACATGTCGAAATTTTCATTTATTATTTTGAAGTAATATATCAACTGAAAATATTAACATTAAAAAAATTCATTTATGCACAATAACAGTCTGTACTAAATCAAGAGTTGATTGAATACCAATCAGTTCACTAAATTTTGATGAACAAATATATTCATCAATATTTTTCATAATTGGCGGTATATTGATATAACCATTTAATAGTTGTTCAACATATTTTCTTATATGTTCAAAAAGACCTTGTCTCTTTGTTAAACCTTCACCGATAATAATGTGTCACTAACATAAAAATATCTTTTACTCAATACTCAATGATATTTATTCTAAATTAATGGATATTAGTTTTCACAATGCATCATTCAGATTCGAGCAAAAGAAGAAATACACTGATATAAGTAATCAGTGTTCCTATTATATAATTTCACAAATACAGGATATCATTGTTATCTGTTAGAATTTTGATTTGAACATTTATCAAAGATAAAGTCAATGAATGCAATTAAGAGTTGATATTTCTTTATATTTGAGAAATATTATTAGACTATAAATACAACATTTATCATGTTTTTCAGTTTATTAAATAAATCAAAACAAGAATACATCTACTTATACAGAGAAGGAAAATAAAGACAGAAATCTTCCGAATGTATCATGGGATCCGTCGAAGTTATTTTTTTCACCTTCGCACAATTGCGTCGTGTTTCTTCCCTTGTAAAGTCTTTTGTTACAGCTTTTAAAACATCAACAAGTGAGAATTTGAATTCCGTTAGACAAGGTACAAGTGTTTTTGTTTCATTTAGAAATTGTTCAACATAATCTATATGTGAAAACGTGACATCGAGTATAGTCAAATGAGGATATTCAATTAATGAGTGTGATTGATAATTGTCAGACGAAAATGTTACAAGACCATTCAGTTGTTGTGATTCACGATTCCAAATACATAAATGCTTCAGTAACGGAAACGATCGAGCAATTCGCATGAAGAATTCATGTTCGAATGGAATAGTATCTTCTATAACTAAATAGGTAACATAACTAAATACAATATTTGGAAATGTATTGCCAAGATCCCGAAGATAATCAAATTTAAAAGGAAGTGAGAAAATTGAGCATGCAGCTCTGACATCATAAAGAAAGATGCCATTAGTAGTAACATAACTGACCATACTACTGACATGTTGTAGTCCAATATTTGTTAATGTTTGTTGAATATCTTCACTAGATGACTTGTAAGGTAAAGCAACCGGATCGACATAAGTACAAATATAGAAAGTGAATGAACGAAGTTGTGGCATATAATCCAAAATATCATGTTGAACATTAGTACCATCAATGACTTTATTTCGACCTTTTATGAAAATATTTAGAGTTAATTTTTCCAGATTTGACATACGACGAAGAATTAATGCAGTTTTATCATATTGTTCAAATGAATGGAACAATTTTAATGAAAAACATTTCAGATTCAATAATTGATCCTACAAAAAGAAAATGTTTTTTTGATAATCTAGAAGATTAAGTCATAGGTATCATTATTTTAGACATGATTTGTAATCTATATTTTATGTAAAAGACCACAAATGACAAATCTATTAATTTGATTTTCTCATTTTACAGCACAACAAACGAATGTTAAACGAATAATTATAGTTTCAGACAAACTTTCCAGCATATCTCAATTATTAGAAAAAATTGTTATTATAGAAAAACTTTCGTTCCATTCTATGCTGATGATCATTCACATATGATAATATTTAATCAATCATGAAACGGAGTAGTCTAGTTTTTAATGTGAAATTTATCTGATACAACATTATATAATTATAATTTCTAGTGAGTACAAACTAAATGTCGATGATTTTGGTATATTCCTGAACACGTAATACTTTTTTCTCCTTATCAAAATGAAACTTGACCATTCAGTCTTTTATATGAACTTTCTGATATTAATCATTAATTGCATTGAAATAGTCATAATCTTCATGGCATAAATGAAATTATTTGTAAAAGCTTACCATATTGTGAACAATTTCTACAAATGTGTTTACATAATAGACATTAACACACAATGTTGTCAGTTTTCTAAGTCGACCATCAAGTAAATAAAAACAATCATCTAACGTTTCGACATTGATATATAAATGAGTAAGAATCGGAGATGAAAAAGTAGTCGATGGCAAATAACAAAGTGATAAAGGTGGATATGACATAACAGATGGTTCTACGACACTTAATTTTTTTAAATTTTTGAAACAGAACAAGATGTGAACATATACATTTTCAGTATATAATGACGCTGCAAATTCGTTTTTATCATTATTGATAAGAGTAAGGTTTGTAATTTGTTCTTGGAAAATAGATCGAAGAGATGATTCATCTAAAGGAGAAAAGTAATGTAGTGAAATATACTATAGTCTTTTCTTTTGAACATCTTTATTGTTTCTCAACTAATCAAATTTATATTAAATACTTACTTGTAAAATAATTTGAAGCAATTTCTTGTTGGAAATGACAAATTGTAAGTTTAGTTAAATTTGGATAGTCAGTAACAAGAAGAATACGTTCCATAAAAACTGCATCAAAAACAAAACATTTTACATTATGACGAATTCTTGGTAATATATCATTGCAGAATCGATCGATTATAGAAATATTATCAATGGAGTCAAACTTCAGAATGTTGCTGAAAATGTTTTCTCGTGCAAGATTATTAAGTCGCCTATTATTAATATCCAATAAAAAATAAAGTACATTAATATTGTTTAATTTCTTCATAATAATAAGTAATATTTCATCAGGTAGATCCAGAAGATGAACATTTGATCGGTTCATATTTTCTTATGACTATAATGTTTTTGACTAAAATAAAGCTCTATATACATACATATTTGTTCATTATTTGCATCTCATCACGTTCACGTCAGACAGAATGAACAACATAAAGCGAAATAATTAGCAACGTGATTGGCCTATTCCGAGTGAAACTATCTTTTTTAGACGATTTATTCGTTAATTCAGTCTGTTTGGCCGTTTTGTGCTATTGGCAAATTAGACAGGTCAACTTTTTGACAAACGTAAAGTATTGATACATCGTTCCATTAGTCTTCCAATGTTATGTGTATAGTTTCGAAAGAAATTCAAGGATGACATTGAGAAGAAGAAAAGATATATTTTTCTTATAACAGAGTTAGTTGAGTTTCATTCGTTTAGTATTTCTGACGTTCGAAATTTTTCCACTTTAAAATCAAATCTGAAACTTTTGCAAAAAAGACAGTTCTTTGAGGATCTCAAGTCTTTTAGGTACAAAGAAATTTCAGTACATGTTACTATAATAGAAATGTATAGATCTGAATGTGATCTAAGTACACTACACACCCACACCCACACCCTGTACATTTTGATTTGTTTTATTTTGACGATGACCGTTGTAGTTTTTATTGACGTCTATTAAAAATAAGACTTATATTTTGCTTTATGTTTTAATAAACGTTTACAGTAGAAAAAATATTATGAACTTCACTTAGGTTAGTGACGCTCCGCCGCCTCTGAATGCAATAGAATACATTGTCTACATACAATAGATTTGTTTATTTTCTATAATGCTTGATGAAATAAAATCAAATTTTATTATTCGATATGGCAACTGTATTTACCAATCAATTGAAAATTATAAAAAGCATCATTTATTCTATGGCGTAATCTCACATATTTGAAAGAAAAGACTTTTTTCAATGAAATAATATATCAAAAAATAATTGAAGATTTATTTAAATTAAAGAAATATTTAATATACAATAAGATCATGTTTAGAGTTTTTTTATTGGTGTTACTTTTGTTAAAGTTGAACAATCATTTATTTGTGATTGAATTTGTTGATTTGATAAATAAATTGTTGGTGGAAGACAAACTGGTTGATAACTAATAACTGGATAATAACCAATAATAACTGGTTGAACAGGATGAGAACGATTTTCTTCAACCATAACTGTTTCATCTTCACATTTTTTTATTGAATTTTCTTGACGAATTGAATATGGAGTTGATGAATGATTTGTTCGTGTTGACTAAACATTTGATGAAAAATAAATAAACTCTATTAAGAATACAAAGAAATATATTTATTAATAAAATACTTGATGTTTTCGAGTTTTTTGTAATTTTGGTTGTTCTAATGAATGAAAAGTAAAACTAAAATTATCATTTGATGTTACTTGACTAATTGAACATTCATTAAATGTAAAATCATCACATTCAGATATTCGTAAATGTTCTAATTCTCGTGCATTTTTTATAAGAGGTCTTTGTTCTTTTGTATCTTCAAGAATAGATGAATAAAATGTATCACTTAATGATTGAAGACGTTGACCAAATGATGATAAACGTTTTTCATTTTCTTTATTTATTGAACGATGAGAAGACATTTATGTTATTAATTTAAATTCTTTTCTTTTCTCAGTTGGTTAGTTAAGAAGAAAGAATAAAATTCGAATCATATAACCAATTCGTTCTTTTATCGTATCGAGATGCCGCTATTTATCAATTTAAATCATTAAATTATTTAATATTTTAATTTTAATTTTATATTGAGTCAATAACAAATACTAAAAGATTTACTGAATTAAATCATTATAGACACGAACGATGTAACACGTAAATGCTATGTTTGATCTTTAACTATAAATTATTGAGTCAGAATCAAAAATTAAAAGTATTTATAGTACGATATGTTCTAGAAATTAAATATATATATATCTACAATAAAATATTGTTCGTTTCGCGTCAAAAATGCTAGTAGTCTGTGAATAAGAAGAAGCATTTAATAGTTTATATACATTCATCAACTTATTTGTAATCGTTTTTGTTTAAACAAATTAATATTAATATATTTGTAGAACTACTCATTTTTAATTGCCTAGCTCGTAAAGCAATACGATGGCACTATAAATTTTTGCTGTTATATGTATCATCTTACACTAGAAAAATAAAACCAAATATTTGTGACATCTACGTATGTGTGTGTATTTATTTACCTAGATAATTTTGATTCGTTAAAATATTCAACAAATAATTGTAAAATTTATGAATAATAAAAAGTAAAGAAAATGAAACGATCATTTGAAGAAGAAGAAAAAGATGATTTAGCTGAACGAATAGCTTTATCTTGTTATAATCAATTTAATCTCTTATCATCTCGTGGAAAACCATCATCAAATGAATGGACACATTTAGCAGGTTTTGTTAGTGTCAAAGATGATAATACTATTCAAGTACTTTCAATTGGTACTGGTACAAAATGTTTAGGTGGTGACAAAGATGAACGTGGTACACAAGGTTGTTTATTACATGATAGTCATGCAGAAGTTATTGCACGAAGAGCATTAATGAGATTCTTTTATGAAGAAATTCTCAATGAAAATAAGTCAATATTAATTAAACAAGAAAAAAACAAATTTTATTTAAATAAATCCATTCGTCTATATTTATTTGTTTCATATCCACCTTGTGGATCAGCTGCATATGTATCTGATCCAATAAAACGACCAAAATTTGAACATAAATCATTAAATGCATCTGGAGAAGAACTTTATTTAAAACCAGGAAAAGGTTTTCAAACAACAAGTCTTTCATGTACAAATAAAATTAATCGATGGATTTATCAAGGTATTGAAGGAACACTTTTAAATCAATTAATATTATCACCAATTAAATTATCTGGTTTAATTATTCAAACAAATACTGTTTTATCTTCTATATTTAAAGATATACCTGTTATATCTGTGAAAGAATCTTTTGATTATGGTCCATCATCTCAACGAACTCGTCCTTGTGCAATGTCGATAGCTTGGTGGACAGGTCTAGATCCATCTTCTTCTGTAATTACAGTTGATGGATATCCTTTAGGACAAGTTAAAAAATTAAGACATAAACAACAATATGCAAATTCAATAGCTAAATGTTCTCTATTTAAACTTTATCTTCAATTAATGGATAGTCCATCATCAAAAACAACAACATATGCACAAGCCAAAGCCCTATCCTCAAATTCATTAAGAAATCAATTTATGTTAGATAATCCACAATGGATAATAACTGATCCAAATATATTTTATTCATTTACTCTATCTTCTTGATTATAAAAACATTTATTGCATTTTTCATCGAACTTGTTTTTTTTTGTTTGAATAAAATAAAATGAACATTTGTGGATCATTAATCAATTAACATTCATATTGCTAAAGTAGAACAATATTGAGTCAGACTTTGAATTGCATATATTATACGAAAGAAATCTCTCGATAAGGTAACGGTGAATAATCAGCAATATTTATTGAGGTGAATATTTGTAGAAGATCAATAAAAACAATATTAGCTTAAAAAAATAGAACACGTGAGTAAATTTCTTTTTATTACATTATACATTTATTACAGAAGTGTTGAAATCTATAAAAGAATCAAATAATATTTCTCGAGAATTTTATATTTCATACAGAAATTTAACGTATATCCCATGTCTTCAAAATCGCCAAGGTTTGGGCGATGAATCGCGATTTTTCAAAATATTGACGATTATATCGCCAGTAAGAAATGCTTATTTTGTCGGAATCATTACGAATCAAGACTTTTCGACAAAAAAATCGGTAAAAAGTCCTTAATTTTGGCGATTTTATCGTGATAGATCTCACAAGTAATCGGCTTCTATATCGCGATAAAATCGTCAATTTTTTCGAGATTTTTGGTGGCATGGATGGTGCAGTATAAAATGATGTAAAATTATCTAATTTATTAAAACTGTGTCATTTATGATGACTATATTTTCATCCAAAAATAATCGTCCCTTCGGACGATTTTATCGCGATTTTTCGAAAAATAATCGTCTACCAAATCGCGATTAATCGACCACTTTTTATTGAAATCTTGGCCCATTGCGATATATCGCGATACATCTCACAATTAATCGGGTGTTAAATCGCGATTAAATCGTCAATTTTCCCCCGATTTTGATGACATGGGTACTTATTAATTTGAAGTTCTGTTTTCAACTAATTTGTTTAGTGCCTTGCTAATGCTGGTATTGCTATCGGGTTATTCAAGAAGAAAGCAAATATTTGTGTTAGGTATACAGGAAAATTATAAATCCAATATTTAGTTTCAAATAACATGCAATCTTAAAAAGTAATCAGAACGTTTTTTTTTCTTTTTTTTTATTGACTATCCTTGCCATATGTTGGTGTTTTTTCTCGTATGACAACACGATATTTTTCATCAGATTGAAGAGAAAATGTGTATGAATATTTTTCTTTTTTTTTTAGATATTCAAATGGGTCAATTAGAAGTAATTATTGTTGAAGGACGTAATCTAAAACAAAAAGATACATTTAGCGAAAATGATGCATATGTTAAAATTTATCTTGATGATAAAAGTCAAAAACAAAAATCAAAAACAATACAAAATTCAAATAATCCAAAATGGAATCAATCATTTGTTTTGTATAGTTTACTTTTTTATTATAATTACTTTTAGATTCTTATTTATTTGTTTAGTAATCATTTGACAGGACAAGATACTCTTTATATTGATATTTATGATAAAGATTCAGTTAAAGATGAAAAAATTGGTTCAATCCATATCAATTTACATGATTTATATAATAAAGGTTTCTTGTCAAAATTAATACATTTTTATTTAATATTATATTTTGAATAGGTCATATTGATAATTGGTTTCATATTCCAGCTAAAAATGGATCAACATCTTGTGGTGAAATTCATCTCATACTTCATTATGAAAGACTTCAACTATAAAAGAAAACCACTTTATTATAGGTGTATTTTTTACAATGATGAAAAATATTTTTATTTATATTTATGAGAAATTTTATTTTACAAAAATATTGAATCAAAACAAATCTTTATCTACACCAAATGATGAATCTTTCTGTAAAAGAAATTCTTGAATCTATTTGATCAATTTTCTTCTATTCAAAACTTTCTTATTTAAAATCTGATAGAAAACTAATCAAAATCTTTTTCTAGAATTGAGAAAATTTTATTAAAAAGCATGAAATCAAATAAAATTAGTCGTCCGTATCGTTCAATGTTTCATAAGAATAATATCCTTAGTATAGGAGTATAATGTCAAATAACAAATTAAGTTCAGTTTATCAGTAGATTTTAGCAATGTAAGAGAACGCTAACTGAGTTCACGTTGTTCCCTGAAGCAATAACATCCGGTTTACTGTCACCATTTACATCAGCTACTGCCATTCCTTCTGGACTAATGCCAGATGGATAAGCTGTTATAGCACCAAATGTGCCACTGCCTGCATTGAGAAGAATACCAATTTGGCCTGAAGACTGAAGTCCGACAACAATATCTGCTAAATTATCACTATTCATATCAGCTACTGCTAGTGCGTCTGGAAAGCTACTAGTACCAGTTGTATAAGTAGTTTGACCAGAAAATGTGCCACTGCCTACATTGAGAAAAACGCCAACATTGCTCGAATCTCTGTTTGCAACAACAATATCCGGTTGGGTATCAATATTCACATCAACTAATGCTATTCTCCATGGACCGTTACTAGTTGGATAAGGTCTTATAGTAAGAAACGTGCCATCACCTGCATTGAGGAGAACGCCAATGGTGGTCGCACTATAAAGTGCGACAACTATATCTGGATAGCTGTCATTATCCAGATCAGCTGCCACTACGAAATACGGAGCGTCAACAGTTGTATAAGAAGCCAAAGAAGGAAATGTACCACTGCCCGAATTGAGAAGAACAGCAACCGTGCTCGCACCGGAAACTGCGACAATAATATCTTGATTATTATCACCATTCACATCGATCACCGCTACTGACTGTGGACCATTACCACCACATGCATAAGAAACTTGAGGAAGAAATGTACCACTGCCTGAATTGAGAAGAACACTAATGTTGTTTACAGAAGAATTTGGAACAACTAAATCCAGATGATTGTCACCATTCACATCAGCTATTACTACTTGAGTTGGAGAGTCACCAGTTGGATAAGTAGTCTGAGAACCAAATGTACCATCGCCCACGCCCAGAAGAATACCAACGCTGGTCCCATCGTTGTTTACAACAACAATATCCAGTTTATTATCACCATTCACATCAGCCATTGCCATTGCGTACAAATTGTAAGTAGCTGTATATTTCACTGGTGCGAGAAGCATGTTGCTACAAGCTGTCACACACAAAATATATTTTGTTCATTTAACGGAATTATAATACTCAAAAGCATGAGTAAAATGAACTTAATGATACGAAGTTAGTTTAAATTATCAAACTTACATATTCTGAATATATTACGAAGAAATATTAAAATATTCTATCATGATAGAGAACTACATATGTTGTTGTATCTTTTAGAAGAGACTTATGAACATGAAATAGAGTTTTTAATTTTTTTTCTATATTGCTATCTATTTTGACCATGTAATATATTATATAATGGAAACAGAAACCAAAAGAAAATACTGAAACTTTTATCAATCATTTTCGATTTTTGTGACTATCCCATCAGTTAAATGGACAAATCATGATGTCCAACGTCTATTCATATATTCTTGTAAAACTCTGGGGAAAAAGAATTTTTATAGGCAGATTATTTTATAAAAATAAAATTTTTTTTATCCCAACTATAATGCTCGAAATTATTTACTACGTGACTATATATGATGCTCTCTGTTCGATCACAATACTAAAAGGTTTCGTTTTAAGTTACGGGTTTTACAGAGTTGAGCGAGATAAAAACTGTGACAGAGTGGCTATCGAGATGGTCTACTCGCATATCTTAGTCAAGATAATCATTGGGTAGGAAACTATTACAAATAATCTGACATCTCACTCACGATTTGTTGTTGATGTTGTCGTCGTTGTTGTGGTTTTTGTTGTCGTTGTTGTGGTAGTTGTCGTCGTCGTTGTGGTTGTGGTTGTCGTTGTTGTTGTGGTTGTGGTTGTGGTCGTCGTCGTCGTCGTTGTTGTGCTTGTTGTCTTCGTCGTTGTTGTTGTTGTGGTTGTAGTTGTTTCTGTATTCGTTGTTGTTGTGGTTGTTGTAGTTGTCGTCGTCGTCGTTGTAGTTGTTTCTGTATTTGTTGTTGTTGTGGTTGTTGTAGTTGTTGTCGTCGTCGTCTTCGTTGTTGTTGTTTTAGTTGTTGTCGTCGTTATTGTTGTTCTTTTTGTTGTTGTCGTTGTTGTTCTCTTTGTTGTCGTTGTTCTTTTTGCTGTTGTCGTTGTTGGTTCTATATGAAATAAGTAGACGGAATGAGATTTTCTTCATCAGTGATCATTTCTCTATGTTTTAATTATAGTAGCTTATTAAGGATTAGTGATCAATGAATGAGTAACTAAAATACATGGATTATTTTTCTTAATAGAGTTGATCTTATAGAAATGAATATAGAATTCAATGTTCTATCAAATGAGATTAATGTGAAATAAAATTAGTATTTCTATACGAAGTTATCACTCAGAAAGCTCATTATCACAATGACCAGATGGATAATGACAATGTTTTGAGTATTTATTTTCGTGTAACTTACATCCTAATCCTCAAGAGCAGAAATCATAGAAAACACCTCAATTTTAAATTTCACTCACCAATCGTACACGTAGCACCACTCCAACCGGCTACGCATGAGCAAGTATCAGGAGCTGTACAATTGCCACCATTTTGACAGGCATTTGTGCATATACCTGAAAGAATCAACAGAAACTATTGCAATCACTTAAAGTCTAAGTTTTCGTTACCGGTGTCACATGTTGAATTAGTCCATCCTGTGGCACATGTACAATTATCAGGAGCTGTACATGTACCATTGTTTTGACAGCCATTTGTGCATATAGCTGAAAGAGACAACAGAAATTATAACAATCAACTAAACTCTGAATTTATCTTACCAGTTGTACACGTGTCTCCACCCCATCCTGTAGCACATGTACAAGTTGTAGGACCTGTGCATTCACCGCCATTTTGACAAACGGATGAACATGAATCTGAAAAATAATAAGCACATATTTATTCAAAAATAGACAAAAAAATTAGGCATACGAAGTTCATCTCTAAGGAACATTTTGCAGAATTCAGTCTTAGGAAATAAGCATATCATTCAATGCATCATGTTTCAATTTTTAAAATCAAGTTTTATCTAACAAGAGATAGAACAATATCAAAATTCGACTTTTTGAGATTTTGATCTTGGAAGTTTTGAATATTCGGTGGTTGTTAGTTCTAGCGTCATGATTTGAATAGTATGATATTGATTACCGGTAGTAAGTTCTTGAAACTTGTGTTTTCAAATTTTGGACTGAAAAGCTTGCGAAGTTAATTAGAAGACTTTATAACAACAATTAATATCATCATTCAAATAGAGAAGCAACATCGAAATCCTCTGAAACACGTCTAAGATCGCTCGACTCAAAATAGACCGTCATTTTTGAATACTTTTTATCGTTTGTCAATCTAAGTTCTAATTCGAATAGGAATACATCCATACTCATAGGTAAGTGATATGAGACACAGTCTACTCACCGATAATAACACCGGGATTATTTTGATTGTTATTATTGCCATTGGGATAAGATTGAACGTGACAAAGCTCCACAGATAAGCTGCTTCCATCGTCCGCCGTGATATTGACATCGCTGACAGTATTGAGTTTTTCATGGATGCCAGTAAAAAGCTCGATTTGGCAGATCAGTGTTTGACATGGTAAATCTATTGGATAATTCAGTGAGACGTCAAAGACAATCGCAACACCTGATCGATCCGTCTTGTCGCATTGAATACTATATGTAAAATTATAAGTAATTATGGCTCGCAATAATTAACTAAAAATAAAATTACTCGCGACGGCGACGTCGACCTTTGGTAGTGGTTGCTTTTGCGCTGCTGATGGTGGTAACAGCAATGGACGCTTTAGGAGCACTGATTGCTTGTTGCAGCTAAAACATGATACTCATGATAAACCAACATAAAAGACAAAACTTACGCAAACGGCTGTTGTTTGACGGTTGGTGACAGACTGTGTGGCACGCTTTTTTACTAATCCAGGTGGCAACATGTATGAGATGGTTAATGTAGTCAGCGATTGTTCTAATAAAGATTAAATATGTGTATATAATACAAACAATAAGCGAATACTAACTAGTAGTTGCCGTTTTGTTGCCAACTTTGAAAAACGGTGTTGTTAAATATGCGGGAATCAGTGAGATACAAATTGTGATTGCGATAGCCACAAACAGCAGTATGAAAAGATTACATTTGGAAGGTCTATGCAAGTGATAAAAGAGAACAAGATTCATTGGAAACACTCACAACTTACCTATCAGAACGTGGTAATTTCACATGAGCCATAATTTTTAACTCGTTGAAAGATTGTTGCCTTGAAATTAAGAAAAATATGAATTTGAGTGTCAAAGAAAAGTTGGCTAGAGATTTGAAGTCTACAAGTTTCTAGTTGTTACTGAAATTCTAGTTCACATCTGTCATTGTCTTTTTTCGGACTATGTAAATAGAGATCTTTAACTATATCCAGTCAATTAATGATATCTACGAAAAGCTAGTAAAAAGTTATGGGTTGGAATTTGCTAAACACCTAACATTTTTTCTAAATAGAACAACAGTTCATAAAATGAATGATATTATTGGAATGGTATAAACTAAATACAAATAATATCCAAAGACGCTAGAAATCGGAGAGGAATAATCGAATATATGTATTATGAATATGAATGAAAACAAATAATTAAACGAATATGTAAAGAGTATAGGCATTTATATTCTTGTTTTTATACGCTTCAGTGATATATGAATAATCGTTTTCATTTTTTCTGCTTATATTTTATCTCATTAAAAAAACTAACAAGTAATTAAGCAGATGCGACAATAGATATTTTTGTTTTTCTTCGTGTGTAACACTAATTGTTTATAATTGAAGTAGATAGGAAAAATAAACGTGAATAATTGATCAATTATCTTAAACAAATAAAATAAACGTAGGTAGTTATATTCGAAAGCTTATAATTGGACGATGTTTTTGTTTCATTTTATGTGCAATTATTTTGTGCAATAATTAGGAGAATTCTCAAAAATATTTATTCGTTAATAAACAAAAACGAATATTTTAGAAGTATTCTGGTATTAGTAGAAAGGAAGAGTTGTGTCATATGATACTTTTAAGATTTATGTTATTCAGATTCAGAAACTATTATTATATATAAAGCACAGATTGATCGGTTAAGTTTTTGTCTTCTTTTAGGACTGGGCTCTTTGTAGGACTTTAGGAGAGAGTATATGAGCCAAAAATTACTTATTTTTAGAAAAAAATCATACGATGATGTTATGACTGAAATTCTTTTGAATAAAAAACAAAAATTCATCATTAGTGTAGAAATGGATGTTTTTGTTTTGATTTAACTTACACATCGATATATATATTTCACATTATATTAATGTATTTACCTTCGCAAAATCATGTATATTATTGATATAATATAATTGCAGTGCGCAAACAATGATAAAAATGATACGAAAAAGAATATAAAATTAATCAAGCATAAATGAAAACGAACACAACAGAATGGAACAAAACAAAACATAAACAAATATCTTGAATTAAATGCACGTGATTGATTATTTTAAAGTTTTTCAAGAGAATATTTTCTTATACATCAATGATAATTGTTATGTTATATAACCGTTAATACTGATAATAGTAAATATTAATTCATATAGTTAATGTTTTTTTTTATATCAAAGAAGATTCTTATGAAGTTATTTTGAATATATATATATATATATTATATTAAAAGAAATTTATGTTTAGATAATCATTTAAATGAAATTATATCTATTTATTACTATCATATTTATTTTTATCAATAAAATATGTTATATATTTAAAAGAAAAAGATTTTTATAAATTAAATTTATTCGAATATTTAATTGTCAATGACAGTAATTGACTGTATCGCACCATCATCAATTTAACGTTTAAATCTATCGTCTATTGATAATCAACTTTTAATAAGTAGATGACAAGCAATATTTGAAACACAAAAATGTCTGAATTATGAATAATATTTTATATAGAAATACGGAACAAATATTAAATTGGTTGAAAAAAGTTTGATCTTATAATATGCTGATAGTGGCTTCTGAGATTTAGTAGGTACAATGGAACGACTCGGATTTGAATGTAGCTCTACCTCCATTTCTTAATGGCCGTCATCAGTTTACAACAGTCAAGGCGGATCAATCAAGATACATAACGAAAATCAGATGGGTAATGAAGGCAGCAAACTCACGAATTAAGCAACCAAAATTCTTTATTACCATATCTCGAACAATAACTTTCAATTGCATGTGCTACTATTAACCATCTTGAGAGTGGGTGTGGGTGTAGGTGTGATTGCAGGCAATTCGGACCTGTTCGCTCTTACCCCACATTCACCCACGTCACACCCTCAATTATTTAACAACATTCATGAATGCACTAATTCATCCTAATCTACAACAAAATGGTTTTGCTTTCGTGACACGTCAGTTACGCGCGCGACATTTACGCGCCGACATTTACGCGCCGACATTTGCGCGCAAGCGTCGTGCGCGTTCATGTCGTGTGCGCATACGTCGTGCGCGTAAATGTCGGCGCGTAAATGTCGGCGCGTAAATGTCGCGCGCGACGTATGCGCACACGACATGAACGCGCACGACGCTTGCGCGCATAATAATTTTTTTCCCGTTCTGTTTTCATCTGATTGAATTGCTCATATGTATTGACACAAATAAAATGTTCTGTTAGTGAGATTGGATTAATTAAGGAAATACATAAAAAATACTAATGAGAATCAAAAGATTATCTAATTTTAACTTCAAACTTGCTTTTTGCATGAAAATGAGATTAAAACTAGACAAAATAAATCAGATAAAAGTATAAACAGAAGGTATATATATATACATGTTATTTTAATAATTTCTAATATATAAATATGTCTATTATAAAATCATCCAAAAACTGTGACCAACTCTTATTTGATGGTTATCGATATCGTCGTGATAAATTAGCTTGGCGCTGTGTTACAAATGGCTGCAAAGGACGTGCCAGTTATGATAAAGGAATTTATACAACTTATCAAAATCACATATGTCGTGCACCAGATCCAGATGAAATTGAAAAAGTATTATATAATTATGAAATTAAAAAGAATGCGCAACAATCTCATGATCCACCACGATTAATTATTCAAAATGCTCGTCTTAAAATATCATTAGATGCTGCAATTAATATTCCACAATACATTGCATCGCAACGTTCAATTCAACGTGTTAGACGAGATAAAGATATTCCAACAGAACCTAAAACATTTGCGGATATTATTATACCATTAAATTATCAAGTTAATTCATTAAATGAGCAATTTCTTTTATATGATAATAATGATAATCAACGACGAATATTAATCTTTGCTTCAAAACAACATTTAGATTTTCTTAATGAATGCGAAAGTTGGCATTGCGATGGCACTTTTGCCGTAAGTAGTATAATTATAACTAAAGTAATTTTAATATGTTTCTTTATTTGCAGGTAGCACCTACTTTATTTGAACAAATGTATTCTATACATGGCTCAATACGTGGTAAAAAATTACCTTTATTATACTCACTTCTACCAAATAAAGATCAAAAAACTTATGAAGAATTGTTTGGAATAGTGGCTCAACATGTTCAACGAAAACCTAATTATATTACCATCGACTTCGAAAAAGCAGCAGAAAATGCTTTCAATGTTATATATCCACAATGTGAAATTCTTGGATGTTTCTTCCATTTTAAAAAGTGTATTTGGAAACATATTTGTGTAAGTAAATTATTTATTTCAGTTTACCTTATTAAATAATTATTTTGTAGGAATTACATTTAAAAAACGAATTTCTGGAAAACCAAAATAATCGTCGAACTATGAAAAATTTAACAGCATTAGCTTTTGTTCCACCTAATAATGTTATTGAAGAATTTGCACGCATAAAAGAAAATGCATCTGATATTCTAGATGGTAAGAAACTTTATATATTAAATTTTTATTACATATTTTTATGTTTTAGATTTAATTCTGTATTTTGAAGATAATTTTATTGGAAGAATAATGACTCGTAATCGCAGAAAAAATCCTCGATACAATATTAATATGTGGAATTGTTTCGAAAGAATCAACGAAGATTTACCAAGGACTAATAATGCCATTGAGGGGTGGCACAACGCATTCCATGTAAGTGTAACTTAACTTCTTATTTTTGTAATTAAGTATTTCATATTTAGAATGTCGTCGGCGATCATCCTAGCTTATTTACATTTATTAAAGACATTGTACGCGAAGAAAAAAACACAACAATTGTTTGGAATCAAGTTCTTGCTGGCACACAATCACAAACCAAACGCACAAAATATGATAAAATTGATCTTCGAATACGAAACATGGTCAAAGAATTTCATACTCTTTCAAGAAACGACTATTTTAAAATGGCCAGATCAGTGTTTAATTTTTGAATAACTACATTCTTTATTCTCAATTATTGTTTACTTAGTGTATTTGTTTGTTTATCGTAAATAAATAATATTTATCTCTGTTAATAGTTAATATCAATATATTTTTTGAAATTGAGAATTATTTTTCTATCAGCAGTTAAACATAAATTTCTGCCCGTTCATAATTCAAATTAAATTTAAGAAAAAAATAGTGTATCATCTTTTTCTCAATTCGCGCGCAAGTGTCTATACGCTCAACTGTCGGGCGCGTAAATGTCATGCGCGTAAATGTCGTCGCGTAAGTGTCGCGCGCGCAAATGTATGCGCGTAACTGTCGGTCAATCTTTTGCTTTATCCACTTCTTATGGAAGTATACCTCATTGCAATATAAATAGTTCATATGATTCACATTTAATTCAAAATCAACAAAATGTTTATTATGTTAGCTATCACGTCTGTGATAAGTGCAATAATATGATATATTTTAATAGTGGACAGTCCTTCAAGTGTAGTTCATGTAGTCGTTTGTGTTGCATTGAATGTCTACGCTCCTCCTTTATTTCTTCTGTTTCTGTTTATCATCAATGCGAGTACTGTTCACTCGATACTACTTTTAACATGAGACATTTTTAATAATATGCAAATTTCTAGTCATCGCTTTATATTGCTGATCTTCTCTGTCTTATACTATGTCAGACTAACTACTTATTTATATTTTTTTCTTCTACAACATTTATTCATTTCCTCAGAATTTAATAAAATATCTAAACTAATATTATTGGATAGTATTTTAGAATATTGTTTTAAAAACGAATCATGATATCTTTGAAGTGTCATAGAAAAGCTCTACAATGATAGACCATTAAAAACTAAAGATTTTCATGTTTGAAAAGCTCGGAAAATCTATAAAATATTTTTAGAAATATTTGTTTTTACACAATCCTTATCATAAGACTGAGTTTCTACATTTCTCCCACAAGTCTAATGAGAATTATACTATTACCCCATGTGGAATAAATGTATACAAAAAATTTTCTTAGCTAGGTTTGTGTGCAAAATAAGGAATTCATAATTTTGACCTAAACTTTTTAGATTAGTCTAGACTAATAGGATCGATTTTAGGCTATCTGTTGATGAAGCAATCACCGAAAATCAATGTACCAAACACTCAAAAAATTTGTTCTCCGAAACAGGGTGTGGGTGTGCGTATGGATCTGGATTCTGTTTCCACCCAGCACCCATTTACATCCACATCCACCCTTAGCGTCAGAAAAATATACTAGTAAAAATGGTGGATGAGTGCTAGTAGACATATCGTAACTACTTCACATCCTCGAATTCGTGATATGCGAATAAAATCCACACTTTCATCTTCGAGACTAAAAGTCATTTCTAATATTCTTTATTCAAATATCTGATTATTTTGAAGATAGGCGAAAGAAAAGCATTGAATACAAATAGAAAGTGAGATGATTTTATTTCAATATGAAAATAATTAATACCAAATAGATAAAGTTGATGGATAACCATACGTTTTAAAAATATTTTTATCATCTTTTAAATTTGCATACAGAATAAACCAATCATACAATTGCTTATCATTAAAAATAAGCTCCCTATGTGTACTAAATAATTGTGTTGTAACATGAATCAATTTTGACCATAAACAATTATTCTTTTTATGAATATCATATCGATTACTAAGAATATTCAAACAATTCATAAATGAAGATTTGTTGTCTGGAAGATTTAATTCGAGATATTTAACATTGGGAAATTGATGAGCAAGTTCTAACATTTCTTTATCATTTGTTAAAGAACGTTCAACAATTAAATGATCAATTGACGGTTGAACTATCGAATTCATTGTCAAAGTAGCTACAAAATTATTTTATCAATAATTATCTCTTTTAATAAAAGATACTTACCTAATTCCCTTGAGAGAATTAATTTATGAATACGTAATGGTAACTTAATATCAATTGATAAAGAAGTGAGCATTTTATAAGAATAACGAAATTCTGTATTTAATGGAGAAAAGTCATGTCCCTCTGTAATTACTGCATATCTCCTATATTCATATCTTTTGACTTCTGATGATACTGGTAGTTTTGATCCAATTCTAACAATAGGTAATCGTCGTTGATCGTTTTTACTTGCTGGCCATGGTAATGAATAAATATGTATCCATTTCGAATGTTCCATACCATAAAATATCACATTCATTGGCCATCGATGAAAATCTTGGATTAATAAATCATCAGTCATTTGGTGAGTCATTGTATAATAAAATTGGCGAAGATATGGAAGATATTCTGTTAAAATTGATTCTATAATTGAACCATGACAAAATAATGGATCATATGTATCATGAATACTTAAAGTTAATACAACTAAATTTGTCATATAAATAAGAATAGATTTGATATTATCAATCTTAAATTCAGTAGATGATTCCAACAATGTAAATTGAGTTAAATGAGAATATATTGAAGATGGATTTTGACAAAGATGAGTGGCTAAAAAAAATATTTCAGTAATTTCTTCTACATATTTAACTTACAAGATATTTTTGTTTGAAATAATTCAATAATTAAAATTTGAACATTTGGAATAAGACCATTTAATAATATATACAAATCATCAATAGTTTCAAGAACAAGATGAACATGTCGAAGATTTATATGACGCTTCAATGCATAGGTTAAGGAAAGTCCATGATAGATTTCATAATGAATCGTATGAATAGAAACAAGATTTTCTTCGAATAGAAATTCATTTACCAACCTGTTACATGTTTTGAGATGACTCATTTCTAAACAGAACGATAGTATAGGATTTTATTTGAATAGAATTTCTTCACTGAATATACCAATATCCATATCAGGTTTTTGAATAGTTATATGCAAATATTTTAGTTGTGTTAGATGTGTAATATATTTATTAAGAGATTGAAGATTTTCTGTCGAACATTTAATTAATGTTAGACTTGTTAAATGAATAAATATTGATTGAATAACATTATCAGTTATGGAAGTAAAATAAGAACTTATTAGACAAGTAATATGTTTATTACTCAATATTAATGATTGTGGTCGAAGAGGATATTCATGATCAGAAAATAATGTTGATATATAAACGAATTGATCATTTGTTAATCCATCAAGTTTGATGTTTTTGAAATGATCATATGATAAACGATGAAGTCGTAATTCACAATTTGAAGGTGTATGAAATGCACGAAGAATATCAGTTGTCGACAAATAATGATAAATGAAAAGTAACATTTCATTTGGTAAATCAAGTAAAGAAGTTACCGTACGATGAATATGTTTCAGTGGTGATGATTCAAATTCTATCAAAGAAAATAATAAATCAATTTTTAAATAGTAAGATTAAATATATAATACTTACCAATATTGTCAAGAGCACGTTTCATATTATTATTCATTTTAGTTTTTCACTTAGAAATATTAATTAAACAACCATTATATATATATATGCGTCATAAAAACAAGAAGTTGCCTAGTCATTGTATGCGTACATACGATGACCTGAGAATTGTATGTTTTTGAAAATAACAATCGAAGATAATTGGTGCAATATCTATGACAGAGAAAAGTCAAGTAATAAACAAAACGATATTTGTTTTTCTGGAGAATTATTAAGAGCATTTTGAACAAGTTCTATTCTTTCTTTCTATCTTGTAGAGATGTGAACATTAATAATCTTCTTTCGAACACATTGACAAAGATAAGTAGAGGTCTCTTAGTAGTAAATTTGGTCATGTGTTGCCGTGCATTTATTTTTCAAATTAAATCAAATTATTGAATAAAAAATTTGAAACGAACCGGCTCGATATTATGTTTAATATGAATATTGAAGGATACTCAAAAATATATAAATCGTGATTACAATGCTAAACTTTGTACCGCATTTCGTAGTTGTATGAACTTGAATACTATCTACTTGAAGGTGTGAGTAAGAGACGGATATATTACCCACACCCAATGTTTTGTAGTCTGATGTACTAGTTTAAATAATATAAGTAGAAAGAGACGATTCAATTCGAACACACATTCTAGATATCCCTCAGCTATCATTTAGTCACAGTTGAATTATGTGATAGACTAATCAAATTATACGATAAAAATCAATTAAACAAATAATCAAAGTTTTGTGAAAATTCTGTAGCAGAACTTAAATTTAAAGCAGATTTCTAGAACAGAATGATCTAAACAAGTTTCTAAAGCATCGTAACTATCTCCGATAATGTTTCAGATTTGTCCGTATCATTACGGACGATATTTTATAGAGTTCAACTCGTTATGCACATCACCTGACCTGACGTTTGCGTATGGAAAGGTCAAAATTTGCCGTCAGATGTCGAATCTAACTTTCATTTCTCGCTTTTCGTATTCTGCTCCCTTGTCTGAACGAAATGACCGAACAAAACAGACTAGACTAGACACGATGGGATATCAATAAATACTGCATATAGTTACTACAAAATGAGTATCTTTGTTCTGAATTTCGACTTAAAAAAAATATTCATTTCATTCATTGATGTTTCTATGCTGTTCTTTTCTACTCTCTCAAAATCTCTATTCTAGTGATCAATTTGACACGTGAAGAATTCAAACGATTTCGTACAAACTTTACTCAACACCAACTATCAGGTATAATATTTAATTTTTCTTAATAAATAAGTTCTGTTAAATTTGATTTGAACAGAATTAGAAAAAGAATTTCGTTTTTCAAAATATTTATGTCGTCGAAGACGTATCGAAATTGCTCATTCACTTGTTTTAACTGAACTGTAAATATTTATATCTTATCTAGTTTTATTTTATATTTCCCATTGTTTTCTTTTAGCCAAATCAAAATTTGGTTTCAAGGTCGGTTAGTTTCTAAATTCTATCTTTTGTTTGAGAAAAAAAAATTTAATTTTTCATAGAAGAATGCAATGCAAAAAAGACAATTTCTACGCAAACGTAATACCTAAAGTATCTGATCGATTAACAACTGCAACAATGTCATCACCTAATCTTATAAAAAAAGAAGAGCCTGAAATAGAGGCAACTTGAGAGTTTAGGTGGTCATATGTAATAATAAACATCATATTTCATGTTCACATTCATATCTTCTGATATTATTTGTTTAACTATGTATACAAATCTATAAAACTGATTTCCTGTAACACACTACTATTATTAAATAAAACATCTAAACTGTACACATAAAGATCGTCAGTTGCATTTTACAATTCACATTTTTGGATAACCATGAATGTGGCATAATTTATGATAAAACTTTCATCACGATTGAGTGCACAAACAGCGAAACTATTCATTTCCAGACATATGCGTTATCATAATCAGTCTCATATATAATCTTACATAGGATAGATCTTAATATCAATAAAAGAACATGCACACAATACACTGATCAATCTAAATATAACGAAAGCAACAGACGAATTTCTGATTGTTATAAATGCAATCAACTTTTGCTGCCGAACATAGTTGTGTACTATGGTTCTCTTTCATAAAATCTCTGGAAAATATCCTATACTTTGTGCACATATGTATATTCGAGGAGTTTTTTTTGATTATGTTGATTTAAACGTGATTCATTGTTATTTTCTTTATTCTTTTTTAATGGTATTTATTGTTTCACGAGGTGTGCTGCTATGCTCTGTTAGTACCGTTGTTCATTGTATATTTTGTGGAATGTTTTGTTCTAAATTTTTTTGCAACGTGATAACTTGTTCTTTTTCTTTATGTTCGTGATTCGATTTGTTTTGTGATACGCCTCTATTATGTTGTTGAGATGATGTTCTCACCAACGAACGATTTTGATAAGATAGAGACGAATTAATTCCAATTTGTTCGACATAGTAACGACGATCGAGATTTAATGAATGATGCTGATGATTCAATGGTACTGCACATTAGTTATTACGCAAGAGTGCGTAGCATTTATCGGATTTTACATCAACTATAATCTGAGTTTCTTCATTGTTCACAAACATTCGATAACCCTCGCTCATCATGAGCTAGTAAAGAAAATTAACTTAAATACGAAAAGAGTCTTTTCTCTTTCTTTAAAAAAAAGAGCAGTAATAATAACAATAATAATAAAGATAATAAAAGGTTAAAGAATGCATGTATACCTCGATAAGCGCAAGAGGAGGAATAAATATAATTTTTCTTTCAGTTGATACGTTATAAAATGGAAAAATATAATTTATCATTTACTGAATTAAATGAAACTCAAAATCATGAGGATTTTAACATTATATGGCTTTCATCGGATGCTGTCCCGTTCTCTATATCAGATAATTATTTAAAACAATTTGATTGTTGTGAAGCTTGTATAAGTTATATAAGAAAATTTAAAAGTGAACGTAAATTTCTTCTTGTATTAACGATGGATTTAGAATATTTATCAAGTTTTGAAGATTTATCTCAAATACAATCAATTTATATTTTAAAAAAATCAAATGAACACATTCAATTCAATAAACAAAACTGTTTAAAATTAGTTGATAGATTCGAAAATATCGATGAATTAATCAATCGATTACGTAAAGATATATTATTACTTTACACAAGTGATTTACCAGTAAATATATCGTCTCTAAATGAAAATAATATTGAAGAATCATTAATAAGTTTACATCGTAACAGTTTAACAATATTATGGTATAAATCTTTTATTTATCATTTAATTCAATCTTCAAATGTTAATATGGAAGAATTAAAACAAATCATGCTAGATCAATGTCGTTTAGAGTATCAAAACTCCGAGAATGAATTAATAAAAATCAATTCTTTCAATATGTATTGTTCAAATGAAACTATTCTAAATTGGTACACACAAGATTCATTCTTATATCGACTATTAAATAAAGCATTTCGGACGAGAAATATTCATTTTATTTGTCGATTTCAATATTTTTTAAAAGGTGTATATAAGAAATTTCAAGAATTATCAGAAATACAACAAGAAACATATCCTTTGATTGTTTATCGAGGGCAAATTCTCAATACAAATGATCTTAAACGATTACAATCAAATGTCGATCCTCTTATTTTAATGAATACATTTGTATCAACAACACGTAATGAAGAAATTGCTCGTTTATTCATTCGTGGAACTCGATTAAGTGCTTTATTTAAAATTAATATTCACAGTAGATTTCAATCCTATATTGATATTTCTAGTTTTAGTTCAATGCCATATGAACAAGAAATTTTATTTTTTCCTGGAACTATTTTTTCCGTTGATTCTATTCGACAAGAAAATGATTCAACATGGATTATTGAACTTACGTTAAATAATGAAATAAGTGAACATATCGACAATTTAATATCTGATTTTCAAAATCATATTCCTGTTTTTAAAAACAAACATAATGTATTTATGAAAACAGATGATTTTCGTTTGATCAAACAATATTACAAAATGCTAACAGGAGAAGAATTCTGGTTAAATAATGAATCTTTAAATATGATATATATTTATGTTGCTTTTATGTTTAGTAATTTAGGATGTTATGAAAAAGCAATTGAATTATACAAAAAATATCTTCTCATAGGAAATATTTCTATTGATAGTTCGAAATCAAAAGTTATTCATATGATGATCGGTTATCTTTATTATAATTTTTCTGCATATGATAGTGCTTTTCTTCATTATGGTATTGTATTATCATTATTAGATGAAGGAAATTTATTAACACTTGAATTATACAATCATATTGGTGATGTTTGGAATACTATAGACAATATTGATTATGCAATATCATGTTATCAACAAGCATTGAATGTTGGGAGTATAAATAACATTTGTCGATCAGATATTAATCAGAAACTAAATGATTTACTTTTAAAAAAGAAACATTCAGCTTCAAATTATATTTATCAAAGACAAATAAACGATATTGATGAACATTACAGATCAATTATAAACCCAGATAATGAAACAGAATTGAAAGATTGTCAATGTCAACTAAATAATGAACATAATCTTACACCAATTCAACATATTGATGTGTTATATAGGTTTGGTATATGTTTAATGAGAAAAGGCGATTTTTGTTATGCATTAGAAATCTTTTTAAAAACTAAACAGATGGTTATTGACCAACCACCAGATGATGAAAATAATTCTACATCTATTTGGTTTATTGATTTATCATATCAAATTGGTTTATGTTGGATGAAAAAAGGTGACTTTAATCAAGTCTTGAAAAATCTTTTAACAGCTGAACAGATTATTATTAAAAACCCTCCATTATGGGATCGATTTCCTCAATTACTTGCAACACTTTATGATAATATTACTATACTTTATTTTTTCTTAAATGAACCTTTTAAAGCATTAATTATGTGGAAGAAATCGAATGATATAAAAACAAATTTTTCTTATGATTAATCGTCATGTACAATTGAAGGTATGAGTTGGTGATTAAAAGTGATATATGGGTGGCTCAATTATATTTACACTCACATCTTATCGAACAGATTCTATTTCTTTAACAATAAAAACTTCTAGAATATTATATTAAACTTGCTTAAAATATTCTCATTTTACTTCTCAATATTCATCTCAAAACATATCAATACCAATTATAGATTTAACTAAATCCTATGAAAATCTAACTTATTCCAAAAGAATCATCTGAATAAATCGATGAAATAATCCAAGATGATAGAATGGAAGTATCCTAATAACTTTTTCATTCAGCACTATCAATAAAACGAGAAATACTTGGATGTTGGCTTGGGTATGAGTGTGGGTGTGGGTATTATATGAAGAATAGATTATCACATCCACACTCACCCCAATAATGACCAGCAAAGAACGTAAGAAAAAAAAGCATTTGGTTACAAATATCGTTTTTCTGGATGATGAAGAAAAGTATGAGAGATACAATTAATTATCGTTGAGAAAATAAACAATATAAAAATGAACGATGCATAAAATAAATATTTCTCTATAAAATTGTTTTATTATTACATAAATTCGTTATAATCAATTGTTTTCAAGCGGAAATTCATTTTTTTCTATTGATTTTTAAAGATTTATATAATTTTTAGGTAAGATTTTCATTACAAAGAATTAATTTATATTCTTTTTTTTTTAACATAAAATAATTCCTTTGATATTTTTCATAGATTAAAAAAAATAATATTACTAAGCAAGTTATATGAACTGAATAGATATTTTACGCTAAAAAAAATATTTTTATGTAACAACTTCCGATTAAAAATCTCTATCGAAATCCTTATATTGTTTTATGAAAAACTTTTCATGTCATTGTTAATGTATTGTGCAATATTATATTGAAGGAAAATATGTTTCATTTTTCCTGATTATTACTGTTAAATTGTCGAACATACGCGAGATTTTTTTAAAAATTTGAGATTAAATCACGTTGATTAGTACACAACACATCTAATCCTGAATTTTTTCACGAGATTTTTAATCTGAATCTTTAATCTTGTTCGCGTAATAAGGGTTATTTTTATCAATTACAATTGACATTATTTGTAAGAAAGTTATTCGAAGTACTGAAAATCAGTAACTAATCGTCAATGATTTTCTTCCTCATTTTTAACGTTAAACTATGAGATTATTTATACGTGAACTGTAGTTTTACTGTTAAATTTAGAAAGTCTATATTACTGATTTAAATTGATCAATGTTTTTATTATAAAATTGAATTTTCACATTAATTCATACATAATATCTCTATATGTAATTTAACATAGTGAGGGAAAAATAAATTCGAAAAAAAGATTCGAAAAATTCTTTAAAATCGATGAGTTGTTTTTGTTTATTTCTGAAAGGTTTCTATGCGTATTTATCATCGTTCATCAATTAAAAATCTTGAAAAAGGGATGAAAAAAACATAGGTGATAAGTAGAGTTATAGATTAATATAGAATCATCTAAAATAAACTACACCTTATCATAAAGAAACGTTTTGAAACGAATGATTGTGATGACGAGGCTTATAATACGATCATTTTTGAAATTATCCGATGTCATAGTAGTCATATTCATGACAAAAAGAATCTTTTTTTTTGCTTCAAATGTCTGTGATTATATCTGACTCTTCAATTTACAAAATTCTTAAATAATAAATTTGTAGTTTAGAATTGATTACTAAAATCGATGATTAAACATGATTTTCAGAATATAGGATGTAACGATGAAACTCGTCGAAGATTATTATAGGATTTATTTTCTAATAGTGATAATATGAAAAATAGTTGAATAGAATGATTAATATTTCAGTTCAATCTGTAATATCTTAAGAGAATTAGAAATTAAAAAATCTTGTGTAACATTTCATTTAATACTAATGTTTTTTTTATTGATTTTATTTAAGTGAAGATTCGAATAACTTTTTCATTGTCTTTTTATCACTTGTATGATTATATGTCGAAGTTATTTTTCATTTGGCAGAACAGGAACTGAAGGATTGACTGTAGATATAATCTATCAACAAACAATTAATTAGAATTACTTTCTTAAAGTATATACTAAAAATAAATGATCATTTTTTATCTTTGATTTCTATGCAATATGAAAAGGTCAACATATGTGCGGAGATAAAATCAATACTGAATTCATTTCGAAGGAAAAAAAAGATTCTAAAAATGAATCGCTCGAAATGAAAAAGATGGACTTGATACTAAAATAGATCCTTTCAAATTCATCATACTCTCATTTATCTTTACTCATACTTGTTTTTTATTATAAAGCTTAGATAAACAAACGTAAGTTAGTAGCGTTCAAAATAAAAATTTGAAATAAACAGCCATCGCATTATCTCTTTTTATTTTAATGATCATTTAACAGTTCTTAGAATATAAGGCAAAGATTTCTTTGCTGTATCATTTATTAAAACAATTTTAGGTCAAAAAATATCCCACATTTATTATTTTATTTTTCTCGAAATTGAAAAATCTCAAACTAATTTGTAGAATCACCCATCATTTGTAATAGATCGCTGATTTGCAGATGATTTTGATAATAAAGAAAAGTGATGTCGATGGACAAGTCATTAGAAATCCAAATAGTTAAAAATTCTAAGATAATTAATTCTATATTGAAAAATAAATAAGTAGAGATTTTGATTGTATTTAAAAATTAAGGTAATTTTTCTTTCAAATAAAATCGATAAAAATATCACTATTTTTTTCTTCTCTTTTCATGGCCTATCTATCCGTCTTGGCTCATTGGTTTTTTAACCACATGTGATTTTTAGTAAGAGCAATCAACGACGATATTAAAATAAGAATATAAGAAAAAATGGCCTTATAGATGGTTGTCTGACAGAACGAGAAAAAAACGATAACTGTAAACGTTAGAAATAATTTGTGTCGTTACGAAGAAAACTACAAAACGCAACCAGGTGAGAAAAAAAACGTATCTCATAGAATATTTTCAAATATCTATATAAAACGACTTTTACGTGGCGAATCGTCTCCTGATATTATTTTAAAATTTCGATTAACAATTGTAAAAAACGAAATATTTCTATTCTGATTTTTGAATAGCTAAAGAGAAAACTAACTTTGTTCTTATAAAAAAAACGTTTCATTTCAAGTTGATACTAATATAAAATAAGGTAAAGAAGAATTTGATTGTTTTAATTTTATTTTATTTCTTAAATAATTTAGGCTGGGTGTAAACGTGAGCTTGTGTGAGGGGGTGCAAAGAAAAGAATACCGACACGCATTCACAACCCACCCTCCAATAGCTGATATAACATAATAAAAAGGTGCAAAAAGACAATTAGATAATCTTGATAGATTTATTGAAGAAACTCAATTATTTGATAAAATTAATTTAACAGAAGAACATTAATTTAATCAGTATAATCATTGCTAATGTTCAACTTGAAACTACATCACTTAATCAAACATCTTATCATAATGCTGTTGTAATACTTTATAAATGGATTAAATGAGTTTTACAGTTAGTTATTTGAAAAAACTATTACTATTATTATTGTATTATTTTATATAGATGTGACACAGTTTTACTTAAAAAAGTTCGACCAATACATCAGAAATATAAAGAAACTGAAGAAGATGTATTAGAACAAGATCAAAAATTAATTTTATTAGATAATAAAAGTCAAGTTAGTTTCTTATTGTTGAAATTTTTTATATTAAAATAAAATATATATGGATAGGCATTAGACCCTCGTTTAAAAGATCTTACACCACAATGAAAGAAAATCAGTTAAAAACTGGATCAGAATTAAATCAAGTTTGTTGAAAATTTCTTAAATATTTTTTTTCTATAAAATCGAAATAAATTTAAATATTTATTTTCTAGATTTTATCTCGAGAATTAGAACGAACAAGTAAAATATTTGAAACAAGTGTAGAACGTCCATCAACATTAAATGGTACGTATGCAATTGCACTAGCCTTTTTAAAATATCTTTATCCATATACATATGGATTTCGATGTCTTATGTCAACTGTTTATTGGATTAAATGTATCACAGATAGATGAATGACTATTGTTTTTGATCAAATATCAAGTATTAACGATCGAATTATAAATTGGCAATTAGATTCTATTAAAGAGAATGTACTACAAGTAAATGAATTTTTATTTTAATTTGAAAAATTTTAAAGAAAATTTCTTTTTAGATAATTGACGAACAAAAATCATTTGGTGGACCTGATAATATCGTTAAATGTTATTTTCTTTGATGAAATTTTTATTAGGTGAATAAATATATTATGAACGGTTAAATAATGGAGTTTTACCATCAGAAATGGAAAGTCATGAAGTTATTATTAAATCGATTGAATATCCTCCACTTCTTATCGATTCATTCGGACAATATGATCAATGGATGGAAAAATATTATAATCTTCAAAAAATTCATTTTGATGATCAGTATGTTTCATTCTCATACTAAATAGTCAATTTAATATATCTTTCTAAATCTTATGTCTAATCATCTAGAATTACGAGTACCCTTTTCCACTAATTCTTATGATTAAAAAAAAGATTGAGAAGAGATATTAAAAATATTTTTTTCATTCTATTTTACAGATCAAAACATGATGTTATAACACCAATTGAATAATCATTTTTATCTGGTTCAAAGATTTATATAAAAAATTGTAATACATTAGATAGTCTTCTTTATCCATTAGCACAATGAAAAGCAATATCACAAGAATGAAATTCTAATGATGGTATATCAACTTCTTGTTTTCTTATTTAAATCTAAAATATTTGTTTATATTCAAATTTAATTATTTATTATAGTCATCGTTTTTATTTTCATATAATTTGTGATTCACTTGACAAAGTTTCATCATCAAATTTATTTAATCAAGATGACCATTTACATCATTTATAAGAATCAATTTTAAAAAATGATCAACAATTGAAAAATTGGTATGACAATCTTCAGTTAAATTTATTTCATAATTTAAATAATCAACAATTTTCTCAAATGGAAAAATTACTGGTTATTCGTCTTTTATGTCTAGAACATTTTATTAATGCATTATCTCAATATGTTATTAAACAAATTGATTTCAATACAATTCAAATAAATGATTATGATTTTCAAGGTATTAATATTATTACATTGCCAAATATTCCTGTTCAATCAAGAATATGAGGAGAATTTCAAATAAATCAAATTTGATTTTCAGCAATATCGTGAAGATATTTTAAAAACTAAAGGAAAAAATGTTAATCCAATTGATTGTCAATTTACAAATATAGTTTATGATTTAATCGATAATGATATAGTATATTTAAGAAATGTTCATTTATCATCCTTTTCTACTCTTTTTAAACAAATTCGTTGTAAGTTATTTAAATTAAATTAAATTCATATTTATCTATCTAAGCTAAAGGTCAACATGACGTTGCTATAACAAAAGATGTATCTATAGATTTGATTTATCTTGGTGCTCGTCTTTATCATTACGATTGTTGACTTGAAGGAAAAGTTTCTTTATCAAATTTATTATATAAAAATTCAAATAATTATATTCGAGAAATAATTGATCAATTAATTTCTTATAGTTCATCTGTATTTAATCGATGTCAACGTGATGAACTTACAACTGTTTATAGTTCAATATTAATTCAACAAATATTTGAACAAAGTTCTTTTACACTTCAATGGATAAGAAATTTTTCATAATTTGTTTCAAATATAATTAAAACTAATAAAGATGAAAATCTAATGAAGAATTTAATTGAAATGACATTTTCAACAAATTCACTATTGGTAACAAAATTATTAAATGAATTATTTCAACAAATCTCATCAAAAAGTACAATTAAATTAAATGAATATCAATTTGAAATTCCACAAAATTCAAGTCAATTTAATCTTCAATGGTTTTTATCAAGATGACATTCAAAAATAAATTTTCATTTTAATGATAATCCATCAAAACAAAAAGCCTTTCAACATCAATTTTATCTTTTTGCACAACAATTAAATAAATTATGGCATGATAAATCAGAAAATATTTTTTAAAAATTAGATATTTCATGAATTCATGATAATATTTATTTATTAAAAGAACGTTTACCACCTATTTTAAATTTACAATCACTTGAAGATTTTAAACAAGATCATATTACTATTGCTCTTTATCAGGTATATACTTAATTTGTTTATTAATAAAGAACATTTTCTCAATATATAAAGTGGTTGTAGGAAAAATTTAATATTCTCTTTCTCGTAGACAAGAGTCTTGCAAACATAAATTGTCTGCTTGCTTGCGTCCGTACTTTACTGATTGGCTGAAAACTAATCTGGAAACAAAAACGATTAGTTTACATAAAGTTTGACCGGAGAGTAATCCAGATCGAGGTACATGAATCTGATGTTAGTTTTTAAAATTTTTTTGAGGGTTGGTTTTTACACAAACGACCATTTTTTTCTAAGGGTTGCCCAAAGGGTAGTCGGAGTCGAAGAACACGAATTTGACGTTAGTTTTTTTTGATTTTTCTAAGAATCATCTTGCAGACAAAGGGCAGTCTTTAGCTCTATTATAAATATCATTTCTACGAGAAAGAGCTGAGCGAGTCTCCCTGCGAGCATTGCTTGTCATTTAAATTTATTGTTATATTACATTATTTTATTGTAGATTATTGTTTTATTTTATTCTATTTTATATTATATTATATTATATTATTTTATTTTAGATTATATTTAGTTGGTGAAAACTTTTTATGTTGTTTTTTCGAAACTTCCAAGAACAGTCTACAAAGTTCTAGAAGTGTGGATGTAGGTATCACAGACACAATACACCCGCACCAACACTCACATCGGTCTACGTCGAATGAGATTTTTTTTAAAGATATTTTTCTATTTTCAGGTCAAGAAAATAGAAAAAATCCTAACTCTCTGGGACGTTTTAGATCCCCTTTATAAAATGAGATTGTTTGTATGAATATTTTTGTCTATTATTTTTAGATTAAACTTTCACTTCTAATTTTCAACATATTAGTTAAAATATGACAACATCATGCTATGCGATACATAATTTATTTAATATTGCTCGATTATATCCTCAAAAGGTAGCAATAATGCTTGACGATCAAGTATGGACTTATAGCGAGTTGATTATGCAAGTTGAACGTGTTGTATATCAATTACATCACTTAGGCGTAGTTCAAGGTCAAATAATTTATCAATTCGTTGAACGAAGTTTTGAGATGGTATGTGGTTTTTTGGCCATCATGTTTATAGGTGGAGTATATTGTCCACTAAATCCAATACTGCCGTCTGGTCGTCTCAATATACTTCTCGAGCAAATGCAAGGTCGATATGTTTTAGTACATGAGAAAACACTTAATCAATTTCCAATAGCAACCGTTCAGCATGTTATTGTATTGGATAATATTCTTCTTCCATTGTTGAATGTCGAAGACATGAATGGTCTTCCAATTTCTAGGGAGTACGGTGCTGCATTCATCATTTTTACTTCAGGTACTACTGGACCACCAAAACCAGTTGTTCATACATATAGAAGTTTTTCGGCAAGTATTGCTTCGTATATTCGATGGAATGTCGGTGTGTATACAGCTCGCGATCATGTGCTTCAGGTTGCTACAAGTTCATGGATTTTACATATTACGGAAATCTCATTGCCATTAGTCGTTGGTGGTACTCTTGTGCTTCTGCGACAAGGTGGTCATTTAGATGTGGCCTATTTTTCTCAAACTCTAATGCAACAACAAATAACAACGCTACTAATAGGTCCTGCAATAATTCGAGCTCTCACTAATTATATTGAAAATAGCCAGCAAACGAAAACATTCGATACAGTGCGTCATCTGTGTACGGGAGGTAATAATAAACTTTAGATTTATTTTTGACATCTTGGTTTTTACTCGTTTTGCATAACTTAGGCGAAGCTTTGAAGCCACAACAATGGACTCAATTTGCGAATTTGTTAAGCTCTTCTAGTGTTAAAGTTTGTGTTCTGTATGGTAATTCTGAAAGTATTGTAGCTCTTGGATGTCAATTGGTAAATATCAAAGATACAAATATTCCTATGGGTTATGCATTACCAAACATTCAATGTCTGCTAATCGATGACGATGGCAAGATTATTAATACTACAGATAATTTAAGTGAAATTGGTCAAATTTATATTGGAGGTGAGTAGTGTCTATTCCGATCATTTCCTTTTATACTATGTATTTTTTACAAGGACCAACTTTATTTAACGGCTATTTAAATGATCCTGAACACACCAAGAAGAAGTTTACAACCATAAATAATCAAGTTTATTTTAAAACAGGTGATTTAGCTCGATACAATTCACAGGGAAAACTTTTTTATGTTGGACGTACTGATTTTCAAATTAAAATACGTGGTCAACGAGTCGAAACATCTGAAATTGAAAATTCAATTGCGAACTCGTATCCCGGCAAGATTTCCGACTGTGTTGTTACTAAACTGGCACAAAATGATGATCTACTTGTTGCTTATGTGGTCTCAAAAGATTCCGAGCTCGACACTGAACAAATTCGAAATTACTGCAATAAATATCTACATCAATACATGGTACCATCAATCTTTCTCTTCTTGAAACAGTTACCTTTGAACGCGAATGGAAAACTCGATCGAAAGCGTCTTCCAATACCTGATACCTCGGTTCTATCTACTAATGCTATGAATCGTCAATATTTAGAACCGAAAAATGAATTGGAAACGCTTGTTCATTCGATATGGTGTAAGGTCCTTGGCTGTAATCGAATCTCAATGCTGACAAACTTTTTTAGTATTGGCGGTCATTCTCTTCTATTCATTCGAATCTATCAATATTATCGGAAGTTATTTAATTTTGATAGTACAGCAATACATACTCAATCATTCCTTGAACATAATACCATAGTCGAACATGCAAAACTACTAGAACATATTAAGATCAATAGTATACAAACCGAACAATGGCACACACTACATATTAATCAATGTAAGGCATATAGAAACACTTTTGTATCACGACACAATATTTTGCTCCTAATTTATAGGTATTGCATCATATGTTCAACAGCGCATATTTCTTGATGAACAAATACATTTTTCTGGAGAAATTGCCATTTACAATGAACTGGTCGTTCTACAAGTTACAAAAGGTTCATTACCAATGAATCGTTTATTGCAAGCTCTTCGTTGTGTCCTAAACAAACATAAGATATTAAGAACTTCTTTAATTTTCAATGATAATGATAGTGTTTTAAAACAATCTATCACTGATAAACATCTAACATTTACATTGGCCGCCGATCAAACATTCAAAAGTGAAACCGAACTTCACAATATGATCTCACGAATAAATACTAATCCTAATTTGTTCGATTTATCAAGTGGTCGCGTTTTTTATTGTCAAATACTCAGACAACAGATGATATCTAATGAAAATCATGATCAAGAAATGATTACAACTTCTGATGTTCTCGTTATCGGCTTTCATCATATTGCAATTGATCAATCCACTGTCTCAATTGTTTTAAATGATCTATGTAATATTTACAATAGTAACATGACGTGGTTAGATGATGACGAAGCATTACAATATATTGATTATAGTATTCATGAACGTCTCATCGACATGACATCATCACGTGAGTTTTGGTGTTCTCAACTGAATGGATACAATCAAGAGTGTCGATTGTCATTACCAGTTGATCGACATTGCTTATATAGTGATCAACGATCTGGATATGCTTCCATTGCTCATATCTCATTTGATAATGAGATTTCAATATCATTTCTCAATTATGCATCTTTACATAAAGTTACACCGTTTCAACTATGTCTAGCTACATTCTATGCAGTTCTTTTCAAGTTAACATATAGACAAAATGATTTATGCATTTCTTGTCTCAATGCAAATCGATACAGAACTGAATTACAGAATATGGTTGGAATGTTTATTTCAACATTGCCATATCGTATTCAACTTGATTCTGATTGGTCATTTGATGAACTTGTTGAACATGTGCGAGAAAAATGTATATCAATTTTTGAACATTCTCATTATCCGCTACAACAGATTCTTATTGACTCTCAACTTAAACAATCAAACGTTCCATTTCTTGAAATAGTGTTCAATTTTATCACTCTCTCCGAAAACAGCCAATTGTCTATTGATACAGCAACGTTGCAAGAACTACCAACGCAAAAATCTTATGGTGCTGCTAAATTTGATTTTCTGTTGACTTGTCATTACAATCCAACATCCGATGATAGTAAACTATCATTCTGTCTAACCTGCTCGCGTGATTTATTTGATGAGACAACAGTTATACTCGTAACACAAAGATTAAAATATCTTATCGATCAAATTTTTTTATCGAAATCAATTTTTGATGAAATTAATCCAAGTCTTACATCTATATCGAAACTTAGCTTAATTTTACCAACAGAAGCTAAAGAAATAGAAGATACTGTCTTTTTTCGAC